ATTATAAGTTTTATTGATAACTAATGGTTCATGTTCTTGAATATTTAATTGTTGAGTAACATTTGATGTTCCTGAAATAAGATTTTCCAATTTCAAATAGATTTAAAATGCTATATCTTACCATTTTGAAATGGACTTTTATTATTTGATATTAAAGGAGTTTGTTGTCCAGAATTACTATTCCATAATGGTTTATTGGACTGTGGTGTTCCATTTAGTTCATTTGTACTTGAATGTGTACTATCAGCTGTCATTGGTTTAAATCTTGGGTGTGGGGTGGCTGTGGGTGTGGGTGAGTTCTTTCTGTTTGACACATCGACACCCACACCCACACCCACACCCCACCCACACCCACACACCCCACCCACACCCTACCCACACACCCCACCCACACCCCACCCACACCCACACACCCCACCCACACCCACACACCCCACCCACACCCACACCCACACATCCCACCCACACCCCACCCACACCCACACCCTGTCTTATCTTTTATTGTTTTCTTTTTGGTCTGTTTGCCACATGGAAAGGAGCAACGAATGATCTGGTAAGAAGAATGAACGGAGTTTTATAGCATTTATAAACAGATTCTCGTTGATGAAGACGGTAGTCAAGTTACTTTTTCTCTTGATGGGACAAAACTTAGTTTATGATTTTGAAGAGAGTCTCCAATAGGGTAATAAAAAGGTAAATGACGCACATTTTTTTGGCAGAAAAGTGGTTAAAAATCTAATCATATTCAGTGAAAATCTTTATCGGAAATTGTTCGTCACGCCTAGATTTATATTGAATATCCGTATAAAGGGTGAGTATATACGTCAAAATTAGTGACTTTTCATTACTCTCAGTAGACATAAAAGGAAAAAGGTGATGCTTTTGTATACTAAAAAAGCTTGTTTGCTAAGCAATAAACCATTTTGAAAGTATTACGCCCTCGTCACTTTATTTTTTACGCGTTTTAACGTGCACTTGTCACAAATAGTGTTGATACTTCACATAGAGATTCATAGTTCATACTATTTAATGATCCCGTATATGTCTGTCTTCTATCATTAAAAACTGTTTTCAGATAAACATGACTAACATTCACAACATCGAAGTGTTTTTGTGTTTGAATAGTATCATTATTTTTTATGGTTCTCATTTTTTTTCTCTTTTTTATTTTTATTGAATAGTCTGCATCCAATGACTATCAAATATATAATGTATGAGTTATATACCTTTTTTGTTGTTATTTACTCTTAGACATTATCTTCGATTTTATGTTAGTATATAATATCGATCATTCTAGATATTTTATCGTATATCTGTTTGAACAACGATAATACAAAAACGATGTATAGATGCAGATGTAGTAAACAATTTTATAATCAAATCGATTTAGATGATCATAAAGTAACGATATATTGCGACTATCCTCATTTTATAAGAGATTTTTCATTTAGAAAAATTGTAAAGATCGATGTTTTATTTGTGAATTATGTAATGAAAATGTGCCATCATATGATATGACTTATCATTTAAATCAATGTGGTAATAAAACAATAAAATGTTCCAAATGTCAAAACTATATTCGACGCGCAATTTATAATTATCACTTGGATAATAATTGTACTGATTTGGATGAAGATGAAAATATTTTCACTAAAAAAGATATTAAATATAGACATGTTGGGAATTCGAACTCTGTTGAACCAGAACAAAATTTTAAAGGTTAGTATTAGTTTTTAATTATTATTTTACTATTTTATTTCTAGAAAATATTTTTACTAATAATAATACACAAATAGATGCTCATATATTTATTCCATGTCAGTTTTGTAACGAACAAATAGAAATATCTTCATATTATATTCATTCGGTAGTCAACATTATTCTAAATTGTTTCATGTTTTAATGCAGCTTTTAATATTTTAGCTCGACTGTTCTCAAAATCAAAGTCATCGTGAACTAAACTGCGCATAGTAAATTCTTCTTTCTTATATTAAAAACATTGATTCTTTTGTGATGTGTAGCCCTTTGATCAATTCTAATACGTATGAAAAGGTAATTCATAAATTTTTATGCACGAACGATTTGACTTATAAGTTTTCCTGTGATGGCTTACCCAGCATTGCTATATCCAAATCTTAGAAATCAGAGGTTTTTCATCAAAAAAACAGAAATAGATCAGAAGACTTTCTTTACAAAATCAGGAGGAAAATCAGGAACCTTTATCTCGAAACCAGAAGAAAAATACGATATTGTTACGTATATTATTTGTGGAAAAGCAAGGCTTTTCATCCTCAGATATTTATAATTTTGATTTTTAATAAACAAGCAATGAAAAAGTCTGTCTTAGTGAACGAAACAAGGAAAAAAGATAGATAATTACATAGTTCATTTTACTGGTCTTTTGAGAGCTGCTTGTTGAAACATATAAACAAAACAGATATAAATGGTTTTTAAGAAACTGCCAAAGAATTAAAACAGAACAGAGTACACCGTTTCCTACGTCTTTTTTGATATTGTTGTTTCACGATTGTATTTTTCTTGTGAGTGAATTGGTCTTAACAGTTCTTCACTATTTCAAAGATTTTTTTATTTTAATTTTGAACTCGACATCCACTAGGATCATTTTTCATTCTATTCCTGTTATCATTTCATCAAAATTTTGTGTGACTGAGACTTGACTCATAATCAGTTTTTTAAACTCATTATTTATCGGTCTATATCAGCACTGGAAACGGATCGGTTATAAAAAAAATCAATTGGCCCGTAGAGATAGAAATTTTCGGGTTGAAATTTTTCAAAAGCCTTCTTTGTCGATCCTGTTTCTGGCCATAAAAAACTAAGATAACGCATAAATTTCTGGTAGAGTTGGTAAAAAAGAGGACAAAGCACAGTTTATTTAATTATTTGTTGTGAGGTTCACTCGAAAAAGATGGTTTTTGTTGAATGTCTCATACATGTTTTCCGAAACTACACCCTCGCACAAAAGTCTTATCTCTCTTCGTTTTTTTGCTATCATACTTTGTATAGAATTTATTGCCGAGTAGAGATATGATTTGAGAGTTTTATTTTAGTATGATATGCAGATCACAATACAATAAAACTCTTAGGTTATATCTATACTCAGCAATAAATTTTATACAAAGTATGATAACACAGAAATAAAGAGGGAGGAAAGACTTTTGTTCACGAGTGTATCTCATATTTGGGTCTATTTTTCTATAAAAATTGTTTTTCAAAAGAGTTCGGGATTTTTTTGCCGGTTTTTCTTGTCTGTTTCATCGGAATTTTTTCCGTACAACATGTGATTTCAATAGGTCAGATTACTGACCAGACTCGTTTACCATTTCGCAACTGACTTTCAGCACTGATCCTTATTATATCGCAAAAAATCAGTATTCTTGGAGACAAAAGCTAAAGACGATTAAAATACTCGAAAGAAGTCGCAATCTTCGAAATGTTTCATTTTACAAAAAATATAGAAGTATCATATAAATACACAGTATGAAATCGAGCTTTGTGAATTAGAACTTGTAATTTTTCAAAAATCAAATCGTAGTATGCGATCAGACTTTTGGCAATTAGGTTTTACCTTCTGGAAGGTCAAAAAATTGAATATGATGCTGGTTTTCCATCGCTTGGATTGCTACTACATATATCTAGCTGTGATAATCCTCTTCTTTTTCTCATTTTCTATGCATTGAGTGGCGTTAGTATTCAGATAATCCACCTCCGCCCCCTCCCTCATTATCAGAAGCTCCCATGAACTTCTAATATGTCCACCACCTGAAGCTTTGAAGGAGGGCTTCTATTAAGCCCTAAAACATTTTCATAGACTGACTACAACAACGACTCGAAAGATTTCTGCAGATTTCCAAGGTTTTATGAGTTTTCAGAAGATTTTTAGCGATATTTTTAGATTTTAGCACATCTAAATTGGAAAAAGTGAAATTTTTACCTTAAATTCGAAAAGTTTTAGCGGTTTTAGCAAGAAAATTCGGGAGAAAATTTTAAAAATGCGAATATGTTTTTGGAAAAATCAGAGAGCTTGTAATACGTCATACAAATTGCTCATCTCAGGGGAGAAACTTCTAATATGGTAGGGGCTTCTATTACGGGAGGAGTTTTAAGAAAAGAATTGAAATCAAGAAAAATCAGCAGAAACTCCTAAAAATCAGGAGTCTCCTGGTCAAATAAGGGGGTTTGACAGTTCTGGGCTTACGGCACACTCACAATTGAACTCCATATAGCATAGTCCCCTACACTTGAGGCTCTTGTTGTTAGTGTCAGCCTTACTTGTACTTATCCTCACTTTCACCATCATCCTCACATTGTCGAGAGGCGCAGATGTCGGGATTCAACTGTCGCGTCATCGTCGCTTACATAGTCGTACAGATTTCTATCAGGTATAAGCGGAGAAATCTAGAACTAAAATGTTATTTTTATAGGACGTTGATTCAAAACCAAGACCAGATGAAGAATCGAATGAGAAACATTCAGATACAACATTAACTAATTTAGAAAGTGCTAAATCATTGAGCAAAGAAAATTCGGTATCACTTTTATATGAAAAAACAGCTGTTGTTCAAGATGAATTATGTAAAAAATATTATGTACCTGAAGTGAATCATGTAACGGATAAAATTCAATTTAATATCATTTTAACTGGTTCACCACGTGTTGGAAAAAGTCAATTGATTAATGCATTAAGCAATGGAGAAATAAAAGCAAAAACAAGTCCTAGTCTTAATTCATGTACTACAGAAGTTCAATGCTATACGCTGGAAGATAATCAAAAACGAACTCCAGGTATTAAACCATTTCGAATTAATTTTTATGATACACCTGGTATTGAATCATGGACTAATGAACAGGGTCAATCGACAATGTTAAAATTTATTGAAGAAAAAGATCCTGTTTGTCTTATGTTTTGTGCATCACCTGGTACATTTGCTGATCTAAAACAACTTCGACCAGTTCTTGATTATTGTCAAACAAAACAAATATTTTGTGCACTTGTCTGTACAAATATGTGGTCAAGTCCAGCTCGAAAAGTAGTTATTGAAGAATTTGAAAAAGAACTTTTAAGATTTGGTAAACCCACTGAAAGATTATTTCAACAGCAACATACTCAAAAATCTCATAAAGTAACAATTTTTGGCAATAGTGCTCTTTGTACAATGGTTAATTCAATTGAATATGATGATCCAGAATTAGCATCGGTAATAAAACCAGTTCAAGGTGTTGATGAACTTATTCATTGTATTATGAGCACACTTGATCATGAAAAATTACTTGGTTGGTGTAATGCTGTACTTTATCGACGAAGTTTTTGGGAAAAAATGAGTCAGAAAGTTGATGGATTTTTTTCATTACATTTACCAATCTTAATCGAACGGATTTTCGACATGGAGAGGAAATTGAAGTTAACATGATTTTACGTTTATTTGATAAATTTAAAAAATAAAATAAAATATTAATTTTTTTGTCTTTCTAGATAAGATTTAATTATGGCTAAAGAGTCGAATATAGTTGTTTGTGGTTCAGCTCGTGTTGGTAAAAGTACACTTATTAATGCATTATGTGGAAGAGAATTAGCAAAAACAAGTAATAGTTTATCTTCAAAAACTGATCGAATGGAAAAGTATATATTAAACAGAGATTATATTTCGTCTAATGAAGCTTCAAATTCGAATGAAAATCAATATTCTATAACAATATGGGATACACCAGGAATTGAATCATGGACAAAAGAACATGTTCAAGAGCATATTTCAAAAATAATGATGAAAAGTAATCCAGTTTGTATGATTTATTGTGCATCACCTGGTTCATTTGCTCGTCTTGATCAGTTAGAATGGATTATTGAAACGTGTATTAAATCAAATATTTATTGTGCATTAGTTTGTACAAATAAATATAATGGAGGTAGACAAAGTCGTGAACAATTATTAAAAGACTTTCATTCTCTTCTTTCTCAATATCAACCAATGACAAAAGATGAAAATAATGTTAAATATTATGGAGACGCTGCTCTTTGTACAACAGTTAATAGCATTCCATTTGAAGATGAAGATCTCGGAGCACAAAAAGGAGTTGAAGGTATTAATGAACTTCTTTTTGGTATAACAAGTTCGTTAAAAGGCGATAAACTTATTGCGTGGTGTCATACAATTGCTGATAATAAATCATTTTGGTCGACAATGGTTAATCAACTAACAGAAGTATACAAAATAGCTCGGCCAATTGTAGAAGAAGCGCTTCAAAAACATGGAAATGATATTGCAAAAGCTTTAATTCCACTTATTATTGGAGCTATTCTTACTAAAAAATAACTAAATATTATCAAAACAATTCTCTTTGTTTAATCATCTTTGAATAAACAATTTTTCATGATTTAGTTAAGTAACATTGAAACATTTTTTGATTATTTAGATTAAATCATTATTTCATCATTTTAAAATATTTTTTTTTTATTAGAGTGAATCTTTTTTTAGATTAAGTATCCTGAAGAACAGATTTTAGAATTATTTTAATATCTGTCGAATACTAAACGATCGAACTCGATTGGTTTTCCAAGGATAAAGACAATAAAAAGGTTAGTCTTGTGATTCCGTGTCTTCTCTTCACAGTCTGTAAGATCTCTTGTACGATCTTTTATTTTCTAGAAAAAAAAAATTAGCTAATGTCTCATAATGTTCGTGAATCAAATATTCTTCTTTGTGGTTCATCACGTGTTGGTAAAAGTACTCTTATAAATGCAATATGTCAACAAAATCTTATTAAATCTAATCAAAGTTTAAATTCTAATACAAAAACTATTGAACAATATTCATTTGAAAGTTCATTTAATAATTCAATACATAAAACAATATTTTGGGATACACCAGGAATTGAATCGTGGAATGAAGATGATATACATAATTATATGGATTCATTAATTGAAAAAATACATCCAATATGTATGATATATTGTGCTTCACCTGGTTCATTTGCTTTAGTAAATCATCTTGTTTGGATAGTTAATGAATGTCATAAAAAAAAAATTTTTTGTGCACTTGTTTGTACGAATATGTGGTCAGGAAGAAATCGACAAATTGTTATCGATGAATTTTGTAGAATATTGAATAATGTTCATCCACAAATCAAATCAACTAAAGAAGATGGAATTATTTATTATGATAATGTTGCTTTAGTTACAATGGTTAATAGTATTGAATATATTGATGAAGACTTTAATGTTAATAAACCACAATCCGGTATTGATGAGTTAATATTTGGTATTGGAAAATGTCTTCAACGAGATTTTATGTTTGCATGGTTAAGAACTGTTTCACATAATAAATCTTTTTGGAAAAATATGTCATCAAAATTAAATATACTTTTTCAATTTCCATATGAAAAATTTAATAATTTTTATCAACATGCAGAAAATTTTCTTGATTATCTTTTTAGTTTTGATGATGATGTTGCTGATTATCAATGTACCACATATACAAACACAAAGGATACAGTTAATTTATAATGGAAAAATGTTTAATTAAGAATAATTTCTTTTTATTGATTTCTAGGATGAATCTATATTTCTTGATGCAGAAATGATTGAAAAGCCTGAAGATTCACATGAATCTAAATTAAAATTTATTGTTAAATCAATAGGTAATACATTTTGACTTGATCATAGATCTTTAGATTAATTTGTTTTTTTAGAACTCGGTGTACAACTTAGTGAAGTTTTAGCACAATTGGGTGCAACAGGTTCAAATGCAGTTAAATCAGAAACAACCAACGAACAAGAAATTATAATTACTGCTAAGTACGTTAAATTTTGATGTTTGGTAGAAGTTTTAAGAGTTTTATATTTTCTATTAGATTTAACGATGATGAACGTCTCAAGGCAGTATGTAATCTTTGTCAAATAATCAGTTATGATCAAGTTAATTGCACAATTGTTGATTAATTATTCAATGATTCAACGATTCACAAAAAATAAATTTTTTCTTATTTACAATAATCGAAATTTGTATTTTATATTCTTAAAAATACAGATAGGTTCTGATTAATTTTTATTTTTGCTGCACAAGAATTATAGTATGGTTCAAATTTTTTCTTGCATATAGATTGTAGTAATACCAGAAAAAAATGTTTGAATACAGAGACTAGAATAAATACATGAACTAAATAAAATTGTGAATCAGTCTTGGATGTTAGTGTGGGAGTGCGTATTTTCCACATTCATTACCCACATCCTCAAGAATGACGATCAAATACATCACTTACAGTTCATAAACACCTCTACTATTCTTCATCAGTTCAATCAATAGAAAAAAGATTCTACACGACGCTAATATATCTATAATATTTACTGAGTTTATTTTATGTAGAGTAAGGTGAAAAATATTGAGAATAACAATATTATTCTGTTTTTTTTTATGCTCGATATTTCGAGTATGATTTGTTTTTCTGTTATTTTATATACATCATTTATTCGTATTAGAAAGGTATATCTATATAGTAGTTGTCCTTCGCTATATAGGCATATAATTAAATAAAATTAGTGTTGTTTACGTTGTACATCATGAGTGACATTCTCCGTTATTTTTGATTTAAGATAATAATGAATTATTTACCATTAATGTCTATAAATATTTATAATCCGAATATTTTAAATAATCTTCAATGATATAACCGATAAAGTGTTTTATGCATTTGTTTGATTTGAACGATAAATCACATTAGAGTATTTTCAAAAAAATGACGTAACATATCTAGTATAATACAAATGTCTATGATATGTAAAATAAGAAAAGTTATCAAATGATTATTACACATAGTCAATACATCTATGAAAGAAAACTTATTTAGATGTTTTGAAGTTAAATGTAATAAGACAATATAAAGTAATAAATCAATATACAACACTTCATCTTACTCAAATATAATCAATCAAAAAGAAACAGAAATATAAGATAATATCAATAAATTAGAAGAAATTATCGTACCTATGTAATATCTTGAGAAAATTTCTCATCTGTCAATATCTATTAAGCAAAAAAAGGAACTATTTTTTAGTATAATTACCGATTACTTATTATGAATATATCATATGACATTTTAAGAATACATTGTTCTCGTCAAATAACAAAAAGATTAAAAAATTGGTAAATAAATCAATGTTATTTTGACATTGTCCTAAGGTCATCTGCACACATATTTATATTTTCTTATTATTGTTTTTTCACTTTATCAGATGATGGTAATGTTCGATGTGAGAAAATCGCCCTTTCACGACCTGTATGATCAAAAAGTCTCGTAACACTCCATTGTCGTGCATTATTCCATGTTAATATTTTCGTTTTTACACTAACAAATGATTGTTGTTGTTGTTCTTGTGTTTCAGGTGATATTGGAATTGGTGTTGCTATACTTGACCATAATTCAATTGTTGTTAATGGTGGAACAATAAATTGATTTTTAATTATATATCGAAGCATTGGATGTGTATCTGTTTGTCGTTCAATATGCCATCCAGCTAAATCATATTGTTTTTTTGAACTAATATTTTCAATAATAATAACATCACCAGATGGTGAGCATCCATTGAACATAATAGGACCTTTGGAATAACGTCGAAATAAAGTTTTTGTATGAATAAGTTCGTCATGGTCATTATTGGAAGCAGAAATTATAGTCGTTTTTGTCATATTACGGTTTTTGTATAATTGTCTGTTGTAGACACAAACTATAAGATGAAAGAGAAATGAAAAGATACGACAAACTACTCAAGCGTTGCACTCATTTAATTTGATTGCCTCATTATTATTGATATCGAAGGTGAACATTATACAAAAGAACAAGACAAGAATAATAATGCGACCTAAAAATCGCATGTAATACGAATGAGTATTATTTTCCAAGGAGGATGATAGACGCGTCTTCCTTTTCTTTTTTTTTTTTTTTTGTTCTTTCTGTTCTATTTCTTTTTACTGGCCTTTAATCTACTTGATAAAATATCTGATAAATATAAAGGTCCTTTTCGCTTTACACTTAATACATCACATGGTTTTTTTCTTCAATAAAATAATTCAGTATGATTATTTTCTTTTGCTTTTTTTTTATTCTTAACAATAAATTTCACATATATATCCTTGTTCATTTCACTTCTGTATCAAAAGAGAGAAATGTAAAAAAAACTGTTTATATATAAGAACAAGACAAAGAGAGAGAGAGAAATATACGATCACAAGAAACAAATCAGTTATATAAGGGGACTTTTTTTCTTTTTAATCAAATATGGAAAAAAAAAATAATAATAATATAGAGAGATTCATGTTTTACAATAAAGCGTATTTACAAAGACAGATGAATACAACATCGACATCATATTTAACTAGAATAATAAAGATTATACAGGTGGTTGTTTTCGTTTTGGTATAAGAAGTGTACATATTGGTGTACTGTCAAGTTTAACTTCGTCATTTGAAATAATTGTTAGTGGAGATGATTTGATATCTGTAACATTACTTGAATCTTCTAAAACATTTGTTTTACATGCATTCATAGTTTCAGTATCAACTAAAATAGATTGAAATAAAAAATTGATAAAAATTTATTTTAATGATATATTTACTCATAACAACATCAGTATCATCAATCGTCGAACAATTTTCATTAGAATTCATTTTACGACGTTTTGATGGTGATGCTCCTTCAACTAAAATGGAAACTGAACTAATACGTTTAGCTGTTGGTGTTACCACTAAAGGATTAATTAGTGGTTGTTGTTCAGTAGTTAAACCTAAATTAATAAAATATTCAATAATGATTTCAAAGAAAACCTCGAACGGAAAATAGAAGATTTACGACTATTGATTAATCTTATTGGACTCTCACTAGAGAATTTGTTGACAGGAGATTATTCTTGTAAGCAATGAAATATTCTATTCATAATAATATCATTAAAGCCCTCTAAATATCCACTTATCGGTGACAACTAAAAAATGTATGTCTCTATGAAAACTGTTTCGATCTCAACAAATTCAACGAGAAAAAATAGTCAGTTACAAGGTCTTTCTTAGTATATATGAACCTTTTTTCGACGCTAATGATTTCTTCTTTGATACTCTTTTTGGTTTATCACCATTTGGAATTGTTTCATTATTAATTTCTTGTTCTTTGTCATCTTGTTCTACTGGTTGATAAATTTCTTTTGGTACAAGAATTTTCTAAAAATGAAATTTGTTTTTATTAAAATATAAAAACTAAATTTTTTACTTGAAATTGATGAAGATAATTTGATAATTCAAATTTTAGTTTTTCATCCAATATAGGATCATAAATACAACCAAATATAGGTTTTAATTCTCGTTGTTGATTAAGACGTGCTACTTTTTTATCCCATATATGTGATTTAGCTGCTTCACGAGCTTGTTTTGTTGATGTCGACTTAATTCAAACAAAAAAACATTTACAAAATCTAAATAAATATTTAACTTTTTTTTCTTCTACCTGTTGTTGTTCATCTTCATTTAATTCATCATCTGATAAATGTCCATGCGGTACAATAAATGAATCAGTATCACTATCACTATCTACTGCTTCAGCATCACTTAAATCTTCAGCATCTGAACGAATTTCTTCACCATCTTTACATGGTTCTTCCCATTCACCTTCGGAATCAACTGTATAATCAATCTAATAAATATAAAACACAATACATCAAAATTCATATTAATAATAATTATATACATTATCAATAGGCGCATCTGGTTTTAATGGATTAATATTAGCATTCGAAGCTTTTTTAAATGTTCCATAATAAGGTGGACGATTAAAATATTTTTCTGGAAAATGAATATATCGAGTTTTTATCACATATGGATTATTCATTGTTGTTGTTAAACATTGCAATTGACTACTATTTGAATCACTAAGAAAACAAAATATAAGACATTAGTTTTAATAAGAAAAAATATGTATATAAACCTGTTTAAACGTGGACGTGAATTGATTTCAATATCAATTTTTTTCATTGATTTTAAATTTTCTATTATATCCGATACAAAATTCATATCCTGTTTCGAAACCACTTGATCAAAATCATCTGTACATCGTTGATTAATATTATTGCCATTTGTTGTTGATGATTGTGTATCTTTTTGTGCAGATTTATCAATTGGTTTAAAATATTTAATCATCGTATTTGTCATTGGTTTTTGTGCAGCTGTTTTCTTTTGCATTAATTCAGCTTTCTTACTTCTATTAAAAAACGGAAGAACGAATACAATAAATGAAAATAATAAGTGGAAGATTTCTTACGCAATTTCTGCATCTTTTCGTGCTTTTTCTTCAGCTCGTCGAGCCTTTTCCTGTTGAAGTTCTTCAGCTTTTCGAGCTTTTTCTTGTAGAAGTTCTTCTGCTTTGCGCGCTTTTTCCTGTTGAAGTTCTTCTAATTTACGCGCTTTTTCTTGTTGAAGTTCCTCAAGTTTTCGAGCTTTCTCTTCAGCTCGACGATTTTTTTCTAATTGCAATTCTTCGGCTTTTCGTGCTTTTTCCAATCGAAGTTCTTCAGCTTTCTTTGCTTTTACTAAAAAAGAAATTTATTTCATATAAATAAATAAGCAAACACACTTACATTCTTCTTGTATACGTTTTCTCTCGGCTCTAATTGCTTCTTCTTCTGCTTTTTTAGCATCTCGTTCAGATTTTCGCTGTGTCTAGAAGAAAACCTTTCAATTATAAACTTAATATCGTTTGATCTTACTTACATATTCCACTTTTGATAATCTTATTTTTGGTGTTGTTAGTGTAGGTGTTTCAGCGCCTGTTGAAGATGCTGAGCGCACAGGTGATAAAGTTAAAACTATACATTCGTTTGAAGATGAGCTGTTATTCTGATTGTTATTATTATCTGAATCCATCTTGAATGAGAGAGAAAAAAAAGAACTAGAATTGTTGTTGAATATGTTTTCTGTTGTTAAAACAAAGAATTATTAAAATATCCCTCAGTGAATTCGAGTGGTTGTTTGAAAAAACAAAGAATTTCATATTTCCTTTAAATTGATGTCGCTCATCGTTTTTAATTAAATGATTGGTTAAAATATATCTCGTACAAATACAAATTAGAATAGATAAGAAGAAGAAGAGAGTTTTAATAAATATGATCGATCCAGTAACGAGTAATTCATCGGAATATGAGATAACTGAGTAAGTGAGATATTAAAAGATAAAGAATAATTGTTTTAAATGAATTCCTATTTAGAACAGATGAACGATATATATTTATATATGAACTTATTCAAGATCTTTTCTCCGGACGAAAGCTAGCATATAATGTTTTAGTTTCTTTTTGTGCAAAATTTAAAAAAAAACTTGTTTTCAATGAAACAACATCGAATTATAATTATGCAAATTATGTTTCAAGTATGAACAGAAAAAACGAAACTACAATATAAAAAATGATTTCGATTTATTTAGTTGATAATATTATTTTTCCACAAGGAATAGCGAAAAATAAAAAAGATGCTCGAACTGCTGCATCAAGACATGCCATGGCTTGTTTACTTGATATTAATGAAGAACAACTTAATCCACAGTATCTTGGTATATATACATATAAGAGAAGAATGGATGTAGAACTTCCTTTTATTTCCAGGTCAAAATCAGATATTAATTGATCGTCATGGTCATACACTTATAGATAATCATCAACTAACAGATAGTCATTGTTTAGATAAAAAACAAATAGCTGATTATGTTCACAAATTAATTCTTCTCGGACAGTAAGAAAACGTTGTTTTTTTGGACATTTATTTTTACTAAATATATTTATTCAGAGATGAAGATCTGTTAAAATCAAAAGGTAGTAGTACTGGAATTCAACAACGAACTAATAGTAGTCATAAAAATAATTCATCATCACAATCAACAGCAATGAAACGACTTGCTGATTATTGTAAACAACATTCAGTTATAGCTGATATTGTAATGGATATAGATGAACAAGTGAATTCACATTCAAATAAATGGTATATTGACAAATAATTTCAATTAATATTATATTGATTTAATTTTCAGTCATTTTGCGAAAGTTTATTTTGGTTTACAAAAAACAATCATTGCAACGGCTCATGGTGCAACAGCATTCGAAGCAAAATCAAAAGCAGCTGATCGTGCTATGATTGTTTTATGTAATCGAACAACCAAATTAGAAGTTAGTAATTTAATATAATTATTTTTTTGAATAAATTTATTCTATTTTTTAGTCTCTACAATTAAATAATACATCTCCAATATCTTCATCACTTTTTGATCAACATTGTCAATTAGTTATTGATTTTATTCAATATAACCGTGATCAAAATAGTTCATCTATTTTTAATACATTAAAACATCGATTCTATGCAGCATTTATTATTAAAAAAAGTTTGTTGATATAATTAAATAATAATGTTATTTTTTTTTCAATTGAATTAAAATTTAATAGGTCAAAGTGATACAGGAAAAGTAATAGCGTTTGGTGTGGGTAGTCGATGTGCAGTACCGGATAATATTGATGATGATGGTTGTGCATTACTTGATTGCCATGCATTAGCAATGGCAAGACGAGCATTATTACAGTAAGTTATGCAAAACTTTGACTAGTAGTATAACCTTCTTATTTTTGTAGATATTTCTATGGTGAACTTCATCAATTAGCTCATGGTTCATCACCAATTCGAAATATTTTTGTTGATCCACATGGTGGAAAATTACATTTACGTAATAATGTATCCATTCATTTAGTTTTATCTGATGCACCAAATGGTGATGCTAAAGAATTTCTTCCATCAGATACAAATAATTATTTAAATGCATATGATACTGTACGCATTGATCTTTATTTAAATTAAATCTATTTATTTCAATATATAGGTTCAATTAAAAATGGCAGCACATGCACCAGTATATGAAACTCATGAACAAGGTCAGCTAAGATATAAATATTTAGAAGGAACTGAAACCATGGCTGCTACACATCGACAACAATTTGGTATGATGTCATGCAGTGATAAAATTCTTAAATGGAATGTTTTGGGCATACAAGGTGCTTTACTTTCAACACTTATTGAACCTATTAAAATCTCTTCAATTACACACAGTAATTAATAATTGTTTCGTTTTTTTACAAAAATGTCTTTGATTTTTTTTTAAATATGATAGTGTGTGGTTTCAAACAGCAACATACATCACGTGCATATTGTTGTCGTTTAAATAAAGCTTCATCGACACTTATTATTCATCATCCACAAATTGGTATATATTTACGAGGGAACCACTCGAGGTGTCTACATTAAGACCTCAACGAGACAAGCTTGCTAACATACTTGTATATTGGAGGCAGTCTTTCCAAAATTTCTGCAACTTTGTAAGCAAGCTTATCTGACTGAGGTCTTAATGTGGACAAAATTTCGGCTTCAAAGCTTTTTGATACTTCGAGTGGTTCCCTCGTTAGATCGAGATGAACGTCCATATTCAATAATGTTTTATTTTCTAGGTCGAGCAAAAACTGCTATTATTTCATTAAATGATCTTGCACATGATGTAAGTTATTCGTGGTCAGATGCATATAACGGTGAATTAATTGATGCATCAACGGGTCGTCCTGTATCAGGGTAATTCATTTTTAGTTTTGTTTAATTTATTAAAACTTCTTTGTTTTATTCTAGTAATATTAGTGTTATATCAAAAGCAACGTTACTTAGTGAATTTAAACAGTTGTGTTTAAAAATGTGCCATCCATGTAATGTACATGTGACATATAATGAATTAAAAAAATTAAATAAAGAATATTTTAAACAAAAACAAGCAATGATTTCATTTCTTGAACAAGCTAATTTTGGTTATTGGTCAGAAGATAAAATTCATCTTGAACAATTTAAATATTCATCGAATATTTTACCTATTATTCGAAAATAATTATTGTATTTCTCGTTGTTTTGTTGTTATATTTTCTTTTTCTCGTTGTAAATATGTAGAATAGATAAAACAGATGATAAACATTGTGATGAATTAAAATAAAATAGAAAATAATGAATTTTCCCTGTACACAACCATTTTCTTTAGCATACATTCCATAAAATATCTGTATAAATTTTGCTTCTAGAAAATATGTTAAGTTTAACTGTGATATTGACAGTTTTTTGTATACAAAATGTTATTGGAGATAATTATCAACCTGAACAAATTCATTTATCATATACAGGTGTGGTAAATGAAATGGCTGTAACATGGAGTACACAAATTTTAGCAAATGAAAGTTATGTAGAATATAGTTTATTGAATGGACAATTGGATATGATAGAAAATGCGACGATGTCAAAATTTATCGATGGTAGTAGTGCACATCGAGTATTATATATGTATCGAGCTACATTGAAAAATTTATCAATGAATACAAGTTATAGTAAGAAGATGATTGATTTGTTTTATTAGATTATATATATGAGATATATTTAGTTTATCATGTTGGTAGTTCATATGGTTGGAGTTCAGTATATTCATTTCGAACAATACCTCATGAGAATCGAAAATCATTTGCTGTTTATGGAGATTTAGGTGTTGTTAATGCACAAAGTTTAGCACGTTTACAACGAGAAGCTCAACTTGATTATTATGATGCTATTTTACATGTTGGTGATTTTGCATATGGTAATTAATAAATATATATAATTTTTTTTTCTAATGTTTGTCTTTTCTTTAGATATGGATGCTGATCAAGTATTTTGAAAAGAAAATTTTTTAATTTTTTTTTGTTCATATAAAACTTTTTAGAGTCGTGTTGGTGATCAATTTATGAATGAAATTCAAGAGATAGCTACACATGTACCATATATGGTTTGTCCTGGAAATCATGAAAGAGCTTAGTAAATATTTTTCTTTCTTTCTTTTCTTTTTTTTTGCAAAATTTCATTTTAGTAATTTTTCAAATTATAAATCTCGTTTTACAATGCCATCGAATGGTGATGGTGAGAATCTTTGGTATAGTTATAATTTTGGTTTAGCACATATAATAAGTTTTTCAACAGAAGTTTACTTCTGGTGGGAATATGGTTTTGCACAAATAAGCAATCAATATCGTTGGCTTGAACAAGATTTAAAATGGGCAACAGCATCAGAAAATCGAACAAAATACCCATGGATTATAACTATGGGTCATCAACCAATGTACTGTTCAAATGCTAATCAAGATGATTGTACATTTTATAATAGTCGACCACGTTCTGGTCTCCCATATATTCATACATATGGATTAGAAAAAATGTTCTATGATTATGGTGTAGATTTAGAACTTTGGGCACATGAACATTCATACGAAAGGTATATCGTTTTAATTCTATGAATGAGTATTTCAATGTTTTTTTTGAAGACTTTGGCCAATTTATGATTGGACAATATATAATGGATCATTGAGTGAACCCTATAAAAATCCAGGTGCTCCAACACATGTCATTACAGGTTCAGCTGGTTGTTATTCCAAACATAATCCATTTCTTAATGATACTCAAATCTATTCGGCATTTCGTTCTGATGATTATGGTTATTCACGAATGAAAATTATTAATTCAACTCATTTATATATCGAACAAGTATCGGATGATCAAGTAAGTTTATTAAAAATGAAAATTTTTAATCTGAACTATGAATTTTCTAGGATGGTAAAGTAATTGATAATTTAACATTAATTCGAGAAAAACATGAACCTTATACAAATCATAAACATAAAGGAATCAAAATTGATCATAAAACTCTTGGATATCGTCATTAAACTATGATAATTTTCTTAATTTGTAATTACAATGATTAATTTTAGTCAGTGTGTTTTGTTAATTTGCTATGAATTTCTCTTAAATAAAAAATTTTGGCGATTGTATGAAGAAGAGAGAGAGATATCGTATTTGTTATTCTATTGAAGAAAAAAAAGTGAATAATAATCGAATGCATATGTAAATATAAGCATATTTATTCAATGAATAAGTGTTCTGTGCTCATTAATAATAGAAGTTCATCGACATACTGCGCGCTGTACATATTGAACTGGTCAATAACAGCGACATCTTGTGTATTTTAATATTCTTTTATTAACAAGAAATATTTTCGTTTTTAATAAAAAAGAAAACATTTTCTTGGTATTAATTAAGTTTTAAATACATTTATTTAAGTAATAATGACCAATGGTCGATTCCTTCGAGATAACTTTTCTTCTATTTGTTTATTTTTTTCACACATGCTTATTCTCACTTTGACTTCTTGTCTTTGTTCACCTAGAATATTTGATTAAAAACTAATATATATATTTTTCTATTTCAGTTAAAAATGTTCATAAAACTCTTAGCCATTTCTGTCCTTCTTACTATTATTTCTGTCCAATCTGCAGTATTAAACAATTCACAAAGTCAATCTCCTCCTATTGTTATCGTTCCAAAACAAGCTTCATCGTTTGATCATTATGATTTAAATGATTTAACAACAGCTGCTGAAGGTAGTGGTGATGGTGCTGCTAATTTAGATGATTATGTTGATGAAGATGATGATAATCAATTATCAAAAGTGACTGCAACAACTATAAGTAGTACGTCAACGACAACAACTACTAAACGTTCAACAACAAAAATTCAAAATAGCACAAAAGTTCTTGATTTAGATGCTAATGAATTCGATGAAGATTATAAAGATGATCTTGACGATAATGTTGATTATAATGAAGTAACAACAAAAAATACTGGTACTCCATTATCATCAACTCGTGCATTACCACCACCAGTTGAACGTCGTCCTACATCACTTCGTGAACTTTTCAGTTTTCTTACACGACCAGCAATTGCTGCTGGTATTCTTGCTGGTTCGTAAAATCTATCTTTTTTTGCTATAAAAAAAACAATTTTATATTCTAGGTTTAGCTATTGGAATTTTAACATCAGTTATTCTTCTCATTTGTCTTGTTCAACGTTTTCAAAAACGTCAAAGATCACATTCATCATATACAACAGGTCTTCTTTATCCAAATCAATATGGATATTCGAAATCACCACAAGAATTTTATGCTTAAAAAAAGAAAAAAAAATCTCATGTAAATTACATTCGCAGATAATCTGTGTCTTTTTGATGTATTTTGTTCCTATTGTTGTTTTTCTTTGTTTTTTTACAAATGCTCAATTTTTTTGTTTTGTCTGTATACATTTAAAATGTGTCTGATGAACAATTAGATATCTCAGGTATAATTGTATAACAATGTAGAATATATTATTATCAATAAATTGAAAGTAAATCGATTGTTATTTTTTGATCATTTTCCTTTTCTTACGATACTCGAATTAGTTTTTTTTTCCTTCTCGAAGAATTTCTTAACTACGACCATGAACTAGGTCATGGTTATTAAGACTATAGAAACTTGATTTTGCATATGTCTGGCCTATTCAATGTAATAGTAAATGATCTGGATTAAAGTAATTGAATCGAGTAATAAGAGATCTGCTTTGAATATCAACGAACGGAGCCAGATGGTAAAATTACAAAGCAGATTAGAACGACAAAAAAAAAGAAAAAGAATAAAAAATCCTAAGGTTATGTTGTATCATTTTGTTATTGATTTATTTATTGAAGAGCTCTTAATTAATAATAATTTAATCTTTGTAGATCATGAGCCAAAGAACATCAAGAAAATCTCTTTCTTCAAATGAAAATATTCTTTATGAATTAAATGATTATGATCTTCAACGAAAACCACAAATATTAATTGATGATAACCGTATTCAATGTGTACCTATTGATCCTGTATTGAAAAGTCTAGCTGTAAGAATACAAAATACATTAATATGAATTTTGTATTATTCATTTTTTAGTGTCCCATTTGTCTCGATTTACTCAATCGAACAATGGTGACAACAACATGTTTACATCGTTTCTGTGCCGATTGTATTCATCGTTGGCTTAAATCTGAAAATAAAGTATGTCCAACTTGTCGAAAAGTACTTAAATCAAAGCGATAGTAAATATAACGAGACACTTTTTTTTATGAGAATATAAATGCTTTACGTGCTTTTATTCTTTTTCATAGTCTTCGATCGGATGTTCGTACAGATTCATTAGTGGATATGATTAAGAAACAACAAGCAAAAGCAAATGAACTTGCACAAATTTATCATGAACAACAGCAACAAGATGAATGATTTTTTTTTTCTTTCTTCTTTTTTTTTGTATGTTTAATCAATAAAATATGAACCCTGTGTATAGAAGAGAAAAAAAATAAGAGGTCAACCGATCTATCAGCTGTTTCGTTCGTTCTTGTCCGCAATCATAGTTGACTTGCTCTGCTCTCTCTCGCTCTCTATACATAAATATATATCTATATCGTTGCTTTTGAGAGAAAGAAAGAAATAGACAGAATTTTAGTGTTGTACGACATGAGTAGACAGAATAAATGTGTCACTGTATTGTTTCTGCTATCGTGAATTTTATGCTAATGCACTGAACTAGTAGTATGTGATGGAATCGACTTGATTATGCAGATAGAAATGTCCATCATCAATATATATAGATGTATATACATTCTATTTCTTCTTCTTCGTATTGTGTCGTTCTCATAGGCAAGAATTTATGATGCAATCAAACGTTTGTAATGCAGTTGTGTTTAGTAATCTTTCTCTTCGTTCGCTTTACATTTTGCACAATCTACACAATAGTTGATCAGACGAGAGAGAAAAAAAAGAAACTAAAGATATATATACATATACACATATAGAAAAAAAAGCAAAGAAAAGAAGAGCATCTATTCTTATATATATAGAGAGAGAGCTCAAAAAGAAACGTGCATAGAGTAATTCATTAGAGTAAGTACTTGTTTGTTGATTAACCTTGACTTGTTAAAAAAAGACGAAAGAAATAGATCTATTTCTAAGATGAGCATTGAAGACAGGTGCTGATGTCCTTGTGAATGATAGAAAAGAATGTTGGTAAGCTATTCTTATCCTCGAGGCTGAGCTTTATATCTCACGTAATTATCACAGCTACACCTACATATTCAATATGTCTGTATTCACAAAGATTTAATTGAATGTCTTCTTTCTCTCCTTCTCTCTCTCTCGATACATCTTATGATGAAATCGTACAGATCATATATATATTTATCATCATCACTTTAGACTATTATGCGTAATAATAGTTCATCTTGGTTAATAACAACAAATCGAACGATGACGATGAACGAATATTGTAATATAAGTTTACCCGTTGATTACGATTTACATTGGCTTATTGCATATTCTACACTTGCTTTTATTGGATTATTCTACGCACTTCTTGGTAAAAATTGATTCTATTATAAATTTTAATAATATCTTTTTGTTGTTTAGGTTATCGTTGGTGGCGTTTAACTATGTTTGTAACATCATTTGGTCTTGGTTCTTTATTTCTCTATATTATATTATCAACACAACCAACAATGAATGAATCACAATTAATAGGTGTATCATGTTCCATTGCAACTTTATTTGGTTTAATTGGTGCACTTTTACAGTATGTAGGTTTATTTATAAATGGTTTTTGTTTTGGTTTAACACTTTCAATAACAACATTTATATCATTGGATATGAAAAATCGTGCTAATGGTATTACAACATCATTTTGGTTACCAATTGGTCTTATTTTATTACTAGGTTTAATATGTGCTATTATAACATTACGTTTTCAAAAGACAATGATTATTATTACATCATCATGTTTAGCTGGTGTATGTCAAATACTTGTATTAGATTATTTTCTTCAATCATCTGTTTTACTTCATTTTATACATAAACGTTTACTATTTGAATCAACACCAACATTATGTATTCGTCATTGGATAATAGCTATAATTTTACCAATAGTTATGTGTTTTGGTATTGTTATTCAATTTACATGTACAGGAAAAGATTATGATCATAGAGATTCATGGCAAAAAGGTATGAATACAATTTAATGTATAAATATCCTATCGAAGGTTTTTATTCTCATGAGAATTTTTGATTAGGAAATGGAATGTCATTTGATGAACTCAATAAAAAAAAGAATCCCTTGTCTCTTATAAGTAATCATTGAGACATTCTCTTATAATATAATAAATACCGAGAATCTATGTATCTTTTCTGTTGTCAAATATTTGCAATTAAAAATATCTATTGACTTTTTTATTCATTTATTATTCCATATCTTTCCATTTTAAATTTTGCGACGCGTCAGACATGCGACATTTATTATTGACTTCATCATATGTCGACTTAAGAGTTAGTAGTGATTGCATGTCTACTATATGAGATCAAATACCCTATGCACACTTCAAAAGTATTGCACGACACATGTCGTTCTTGATCAATTAAATGAAAATATCTTTTTTCATTGTTTATTTACTCAAAAAAGAAAGTTTCATTTTTAAGCACGTTTAATCAATAGTCTCTTTTTTCAAGAAATTTCTCTTGAGAATCATCTTTTATCTTAAGTATGTTAACCTTGAATTCTTACTACTAATCATCTATGAACGGATGTATATATATATATATTCGCTTATCATATGTAAAACTTTGCACGTAAAATAAAGATAATATTCATTATCTTAAGTATACACAAACCTTGAACATAAGTTGACATTCAAGTAAAAACAGGATTGATTTCAATTAATTAATTACCATTGATTATTATAAAAAATAAATACGAATAAATAAACAAACTATGTCTATGTGTCGCGACGTTTAGACCTAATAAATAAACTCTTTCTTGTATACATATATGTCTTCATATACATTATATGGTTAATTAACATGAGAGAAACGCTAATGGAATAGTCTATGAATGTTTAACGGCAACAGAGAATAGGATTAGACAAGCCATTGTGTTCACTTATTATTATATATGTATGCATGAATTGAATATACGAGAGATAACAAAAGAATCATATCTATTGTTTGTATTTTAGCAATTAGTGCAGGCAGAAAACGATATACAACAGCAAATTTAAAAAGAATTCGTCGTCATTATAATCAAGATACACTTCGTGAACACATTATTCCAGATGAAAGTAATCGTTTTCGATATTTCTATCATATACGACGAGCCAATGGAGATGCATTACCATCAGTAAGTTAAATTGAACTAATTTATCATAGAACATGTCTTTGACTGTGACTATCACACATTATAATTCGGAAAAGTAATCGATATATAGATATGTATATATAATGTCCTTAACATGGAGGACTAATACCAATATATGTCAGTCACAGCCGGTCAACTCATCATCTAATACAAATGAACTAGAGCATACATCTACACATGCAGAAGTTGTCAACAAATATAGGTTATATACATACTTAGTCATTAGTCTTTTTCAAAAAGATCAGGTCAAGGATAGATTTATCTTATGTAAACTAGTTCATAATAGGGGAAGAAACTGAACGATGAAATCGAATATGCTTTGCAGACATGAAGTGTATTGTTCATTGATGCAATATGTTAGAATAAATAGCCCAGTAGGTATTCAGATATATATATATGAATGATGTAATATTTCTATTGATATAAATAAATATTATTTGTTATTATAGGATTTTATACAAAATGTACGACAGCAAAATTCGGCAGCAGTTCGTTTGACAACCAATAATAACAGTAATAATAATAATCATAACAATAATAATAATAATACTAGTCAATCTGTTGTATCCTCAAATGGTGCAACAACGACAGTAACATCAGCACGCATAGATACAGATAGTACTACAACGACATTAACTCATTTAATGTGATGAATATTATTGATTTTGTATACTTAAAAATTTACACAAATTTTTGATATAATATGCTACTTTTTTTTTCTCCTTTGTAAATTTATATTTCCCGTTTTGTAATACTCAGGAATTGTTTCGATTTTATAAATCCATATATATATATTGGACCAAAAAATAAATAAATTTGCATATCTATACGTATAAATTGAAATAATCAAGATTAAATGTATATTGCGTAACATCGCTTTTTTTCTTATCTATTATTATGACTATCATTGTCTCGATAGCTTTGATATTTCAACGTCTAAAATTTAGTCTTTGTCTCGATTATAATCTAGAAAGCATTTTATTTTTATCTAGAAAGTATTTGTTTTTTTTTTATTTCGATCAATTAATCTCACGTCTTACTGATTTATGTAATGAATAATATTACTTATGAATTACATAAGACGAACAAATGGTAAAATATAAATAATTATAGAAAGATTGGGTGATAATTGATATAACCGTTATGAATATTTCAATTTTTATAATAGAAAAATTCTTTTCTATTTTTAGCTTTGTTATAATGAATTTTTTTTAATCTTGGTGACTAATACTTCTTATCAACAAATCTGTACTTTTAATTAATATTTAGTATTTCATCTTAGATGATATATTAATAGGTTTTTTTTTCTTCATATATACGTATAAACATAATAACCATGTGAGTTTACTCGATGAAATGTAAATAAACATTAGTAGGCAATATTAAAGAAATAAAAAGATAGAAAAAGCAGTCAAGCATAACTATATAGGCAACATTATATGTGCATATAACGTCAGAAAAAAAACAAGGTAATATACACAACCGTCGAAAATAACAAAATTTTTATCTCAATTGTACATACATTAAAAATGAACTGTCTATCATTGTTCATTTTTATTTCATTATTAACATTAATTAATAGTGCATATAATCCAATACCAATTGGAGCTGTTATTATTTCTACTGTCTCACAAATATTTGTTATGCAACCAAAAGAATATGGTGGTGATGATAGTTTAAATATTATCTATACAGCAACGAATAATATGTCTATAATTAATAGTGTTTATGATCCATCACTTCGTAATCTTTATATACTTTTTACAATTCCAACTTCGAGTAATATTTATTTATGTCAATTAATGTCACTTGAAACACTTAGTTCAACTATTTACACTCTACCAGTGACATTTAATATAACTAATATAAATCAGTTGAATTCATTTACATCAGATATTATTAATCGACGTGTTTTTCTTACGGATCAAACAGGTGCTATGACATTATTTTCTATGAGTGGTTTAATGAACATTAGTATAAACAAACCAGCAAATATGACCGATCAAGTACGCTCTATTGCTTATGATAATACTTATAATAGTATATATATTATAACGGATACAAAAGTGAATAATTGTACTAATTTCAATAATAATAGTCTTCAATGTTGTGAAGGATTAGCTCGAGGAAATCTACTTCGTTCAATAGGATTTGATGTTGTATCAGGTCAATCAATTACTTATGTACTTGATGCTAATTCAGGTATTTATCAAGTTGCATTTGATACAAATGGATGTCCAACAGCTCTTCATCCTATAAATACACTTGGAACTTTTCAGAATCTTTATTTTGCTATTGATCGTGGTTTATATTTTGCTTCTGGAACTGAACAAGGTGCACTAGCTAATTCAATTTTAATTATTGCTAATGGAACACAAGCAACAAGAACTGTTCCAGTTAGATTTACAATTGTTGCATTACATGTTTCAAAACCACCTACAACGTCAACTGCACCTACAGAAGAAACTTGCTTTCATGGTATAACATATGGAACTTATCGTGCTGCAGTAATACTTGCAGCTATATTTGGTACAATTATGGGTATATTTATGTGTTTTAATGCTTTATTCTGTATTGATTTCTTTATGACAAAACGTATTATACGTGGTTTGAAACAACAAATTCCACATAGTCTATTAGAAGATCGATGGAATAGATTAGTTGAAGAAAAATATGCTAAAATTGCACTTGAAAGTAAGATTAAACGTTTTGAAACAAAATTTATTTAAATTTCTATTTCTATTTTTAAATAGAACAACGAAAAAAAGATGATCCACCACCAGCACCTCGTAGGTCATCTATTAGTGGACGAAAAAAATCATCACTTACAGCTGGTGATGCCAGAACTAGTAATCCAGCTACTGAAGAAAGTACAAGTCGTACTGATTCTCTTACAGTTTCTAATCCAATACCAAAAATATCATCATATATTCGTCGTAAAAGTGATAGTTATTTTAATCGTCGACAAAGTGATGATTATCGAGGTGGACATTATCAAGCAAGTGCACATTTTCCAGGAAATGATGCATCGCCTAATCCGCGATCAAATCCACAACGAACTACAGTAACAGCAGCACCTCAAATTCATATTGAACGAGTTGAAGAAGAACATGATGGCCATGGAAAACTCCGATCAAATCTTAGCCGACGGGAATTACTTAAAGATGATGCTGAATTTCTATAAAAAAGAAACATTCTTTTATTAAACAAACATTTCACATTTTTTCATTTATTTTATATGTAGTTATTTTTCATTCAATAAAATATTTAGTGCCACAAAAATTCAAAAGATTTCAATATTATTTCATATTTTTACGTCAATTGAAATAAATTGAGTATCTATAGTTATATACAAGTAACGCTCGTCCGCGGAGTAGCTTAACTCTTTCTCGTAGAAATGCATCCTCTTCACATTTCCTGGAAAAACAATTGAAACCGTGAAAAATCGGTACTCAATTTTTTTTACCTCGTTCCCTCCTCATCATGGTTACCCCATAGACCTCAGATTCGAAGTTCTCGTATCGAAAAACCTCTAGAAATATGTTTTTCGAAAAATCAGTTTTCGATGTTTTTTTGACCCTGCGGACAGACAAACAAACAATTTATTCTTGCAAGACTCTTCTCTACGAGAAAGAGAATTGAACAGAATCGTTTCTAGAAAAGTCACTCGATGTTATATTTATGAATAACTAAACTAACTGTATGTCCTTATCATACATTATTATTTCTATACAACGAAATATATTAACTTTAATATATGGAATGGTTAAGTATTCGAATCTTATTGATGTTATTCTTAAAAAATATTGAAGTAGTCAGAATAAATAAATTGTTATGATTCATAAGTAAGTATATACATATTTTTATATTTAGTTAAAGAAGTATGAAATTCTACATAGGTAAAGTTATGAGCGATAATATTATAAAATTATCATCTATACATAACTATATAAATTACAAAAATCGATCGATGTTAGCCAAGTAGAAACTGTATGATCGTTTCGAGATGTAAAAATCATCAAATTATAATGAACTGAATAGATTTCTGCATGAGAAATAAGATAGCAATGAAAGTACGATATTCAACTATGATTGAAACACAGAGAGAGAGAATATGAAATATTAGTTCTCATACTTTTGTATCTTGTAATATATTTGGTTCTTCTATACATAAATATATTTGTATGGATTTTGGTGAATAGCATGAAGAATCTAATTAAATTAGTATACGAATTGTTTATCTAGTAGATTTATTCTTAACCTTTTGGTTACGGGATTCTTTTTAAGATGAATCTTTTTTTCGTTCTAAGACAGTTTGGAATAACTTTTATTAATATATAGAAGCATTTATAAGTGGGTTTAGATGTGGATGTATCTTATTTATCTCATCCACACTCACACCCACATCCATCCTTCAAAGAAAAGAGTATTTTCGATCACGCATAAATGATATAATAACGACAGTAATATCTGCAAAACTTCAAATACCATATATGGGTGATCCGTAACCAAAGAGTTAAAATATCATTAGTCCACCAAACGATTCTCCAGCTGTATCCTGTCAATATTTTTCTTCTTTGCTTATAGCAGTGACACACTTAGGAGGGAAGGTGGATGCGATCGCACCAAGTCTCAAATTTCATTTTTGATTTCTCCCTTTAAATATGTTTCGAAAACCACTAGATGATATGTCGAATTTCGATCCAAATCGCTCCCATCACAGAACTGGCTTACAGTAAATACTTAATAGTTATTAGATTTCAAACAATCAATAAATCTTTTTTTATTAGCATTTATTTTTCAATTTATGTTTTCTCAATGTACTTTATCTTAAAAACTTTTAAGATGATCATCACTTGGAAAGATTGGAACATTCTTTTTTTTTTTATTTATTTATAGTATTTATTCACATCGAAAAAAAAATGAAATATTGGAAGAAGAAAACGGCGTGTGATCGTTTTCGTTTACTTTTCATTGCTTTGCGTTCTATTGTCTTCCATGTGTGTTTTTTTGTTAGAAATCGTCGATAGTAACAACGACATTTAAAATTTGTAAAAAAATTTAATATTTTCGTTCTTTTTCTATTTGTATGTAATCGCATGAAATATTATTTTTTTACTAATACAAATTTCTTCTATTGATTGGCAGAATATTCTTTTCTCTTTTCTATATTGTATTGTTTAACTACCAAATAGAATGACTGAAAAAATCAGTTTTGTTTTGACCTCATTCTTTGCATCAGCTTGTAAATTAAGATTGTTCTATTATAAGAGACATATATATATATGAATATCAGATGTTCTATAGATTCATTTTAGATTATTATTATGCGATAAAATGAAATATTATTGATTATGGCCGAACAATCAAATGTCGAATCTAATCAACAACAAGTGTTTCAACGTAAAAAACCAGCAGGACTTGTAATAAGTCTTCTTGATATTTATTATTTCGTTTTTTATAACTAAAAACTTCTATTTATAGACAGTGAAATTTGATCTGGATGGTCTAGTACGAGCATGTTGTTTATCAAAACCAATTACTTATTCAAATTTACTTAAATGTATACAGGATTTATATGGTAGTCGTACTTCAACAACGATTAATCGTATCCAATGTTTATTTTCACGTGATAATGCATTTCGTTTACCAATTGCAAATGATGACGATTTAAATAATGTACTTGCTATTGCTGAAGCAAATGGATCAACGAAACTTAATTTTTTATTGATCAAGAAAAAAATTAAGAAAGTTTCTCGAATAATGCCAATTGAAAATAATGATGATTCAGGTTCAGTATCTGATGATGGACAAGTTGATAATGGTTGTGAATCACCACCACCAGGTACAATTGCACCACAAAAACGACTTTCAAAAGTAAGTATAACTAGTAAATCAACAACATCAAGTGATGGAGGAATATTTATACCTGAATCGGTTAGTTTTCATATTTAAGAAATTATTTTCTTAAGACTATATGGAATTTTAAATAGATTGATGATACATATTCAAGTGGTGGATCATCTGTTACTAGTCGAGAATCAAGTGGAAGTGAGCATAATTCCAGACGTCGGTTACGAAGTCAATCGTTACCGTTTTTTATATTAATATTCTTCTTCTAGCTATGCCTATTGTTAAACGTACAGCATCATCATCGAATGTAAGTGGCAGTAGTGTTATTATTTCAAGTAGTTATTCATCTCAAACAAGTACAACTGATATTCTTCGTACACAATGTTCTTGCTCTGCTCATGTTGAAAAATGTAGTAAAAATTATTCAAAAAAAAATGACTGATTTTTTTATGTTCTTATTTTCTAGCTCCACAAACACCTTCGAACTGGAAGTTAGGACGACAATTAGGACAAGGTAAATTTAGAAATTTGTTAATAATTTATTTAATTTTTTTTTCGATTTATTATAGGCGCTTTTGGTAAAGTTTTTCTATGTTACGATGTTGATAATGGTAGTGAATTAGCAATTAAGCAAATTCCAATTCGTGAAATTAATTCGGATATAACACGAGTAAATAAATTTATAGTTTAAAATGTTAATAAAATTACCTCTTTTTATATTTATAGGAAATGAAATTTCTTGAAGGTGAAATAAATATATATAAACAACTTGATCATGAACGTATTGTTCGATATCATGGTGTATTACGAACCGATGATTACTTACAAATATTTATGGAATATATGGCAGGTGGATCTGTACGTGAACAAATATTAAATTATGGTGCATTGACAGAACAATTAACTAGGAAATATACAAAACAAATACTTACTGGCCTTGTATATTTACATGAAAATCGTTTTATACATCGTGATATTAAATGTAATTTTAATTAGAAATAATATAATATAGAGCAAATGCTGTTTTTCTTTTCATTTCAGGTGCGAATATTTTACGAGATATCTCAGGTAATATAAAATTAGGTGATTTTGGTACGTCAAAAAGACTTATTGCTATTACCAATCAAAATCAACCAGATTCGGGAACCATTGGTAAGATATAAAGATAGTATGAAATATTTTGCCGAGGGCGATAGAATCATATACTTTAATTGGTTTTATCAAATAAATATTCTTTTTAAATTAAAGGCACAGCTCATTGGACAGCACCAGAAATAATTCAAGGAAATATATTTGGTCGTAAAGCAGATGTTTGGTAAGATATTTAAGTGAAAAATGAAAAAACTAAATTTTATTCTTTTATATTTAAGGAGTCTTGGTTGTACGATAGTTGAAAGTAAGATATAAATTCTATGTTAATTCATTTTTTATCAAATTTTTTATTTATAGTGCTAACTACAGGTCCACCATGGCAGCATTTACAACCAATTGCAGCGATATTTCATATAGTCACTTGTAATAAACCTGAGTAAATAGAACGAACAAAAATTGAAATATATATATAATGAATTCTTTGTAGATATAAATTACCAGAGAATGTATCAAAATCTGCAAGAGAATTTATTGATACATGTTTAACAAAAGATTATTATCGACGACCATCAGCATCGGATCTTATTAATCATCCATTCTTATGTGATTTATTTTCATCATAAATGAATATCTTGTCAATAGAATTTTTAAAATAGAAAGTTTTCAAGCAATCTCACCAAGTGTTTTTAATGTTCAGATTTCTTATTCATGTTGTATGTGTCATGTATTAGTAGTTTGTCATCATTATAAATTTCCTTCGACAAATCATCTCAACATGAAGAAAAAAGAATCATTAAATGTATATATTACATTGAAATTTGATAATGCTCGATGTTTTGTTTGTTTGTTATTTTGTCTTTAGTTATTTCATTAAAATAAATTAAATCTATCAGTTTTTTATATATTACAACATATAAAAATTCAAGACAAAAAAAAATTATATGTATGATTTTGTTGATTACAAGTTTTTTGTTTTATACTATCGATTTTTTTTGTGAAACAATTGAACTAATAAAACAACACTACTTGATATACTTTTTATTCATTTCCTATGAAAAACTTAATATATGATGCTTATGGGTTGCTAATAACGTTAGCTGTACGATGTTTGATAAGAAGCATACATCAACTTATGAAATAGAATATTGTAAAAAAAATACGCACTAATACTAATTTGTTTTTTTTTCGCATTATTCGTAATTATTAAACTCTTAACCAAGCAGAAAGATACACAAAACGAAATTATTATTTATTTTAAGGACAAACATGAAGTACGTTTTTTTGCACTTATATTGAAGTGCAAAAATACTTGTCTCAACGTGCAAATATTACAGTCTTACTTTAAAATGTACCCAAAGTCCAGGCATAAATGTTTTCGTTCTATGTATTATAGAAAACAATCAGTATTAATTATAGTACTATTGCATCATATGTGAGGTGTTGTCCCAAAATCCGAAAAATTTTTGAAGAAAGATTCAACAGTTTATTCAACAAAGAAGCATGTACAAGAAAGAAGTGATTTGGTTCACTTTTTACTAGCCACCAATAAAGAAAGTCCTATGAGATGTTTATCACGATCGATCTCCAGTGATGGATCTAGGATTTCGGAAGGGAGGGGGGAGCGATTTTGGCTAAAAACTATTTTTTGAATCCAATCGAAGTAGTGTAAACCTATTTTTTCGTTTATTTTTGCTGTAAAAAATCAAAAAAAAAAATTCTGAAGGGAGGGTGATCGTCCCCATTGCCCTCTCCTAAATCTGCCACTGTTGATCTCATCGCCCTCGAAATGTTTAGCAAGTAGGACTGTGAAAGCTTAGGTTAAGTTCTTTCGAACTGGAACTGTCACATTCCTATCGGCAAGAGTATTGACTTTAGTTAGAAGATGTGCGTGTGGATAAAGTATGAAAACAACACCCACATTCTTACGGTGCACGTCTGTGTATATTTGCTAATAGAAGTGCAGAGCACAGTAAAGTAGAATGGCACTCGGTAGACGATAATCATGATTGACGTAGACAACCATAAATATTTATCAAAGAATATTATTATTCTCTTCTGTTAAAACGATATCAGAAATTTTCCGGATTTCAGGACATATCCATATATGCTTTACAGTATTTAAAGACTTTTTCTCTGATCATAGGATATCTTGATATTAATCTAAATTCTGATAATTTTCAAACTAGGAGAAATTTTATTCCATCAGTACACACACTCAACAGATAAATACATTGATTAGAAATAAAAAGATGAACTATGTGTGACTTAATTCTTATTTTTTTTTTTTGTCTTTTAACAAACACCAGTTCTCATCGAATTATAATGATAGAAAGAAAAAAAGAAGGTTGAGTCAAATGCAACAAACTGCATAACCAAAAAGACTTCATCCACTAGAGAAAAATTTTATGGAATGCTAATCACAAGTGTTAAAAGGTGACCTTATGTATATGTATGTATAATAACATTGATAAAAAAAAAGAAAAAAAAAAGAAGTAAAGAACGACAAAAAGAAAAAAAGAAGTTATTGCCAATACAAAAGAAAAAATTAATGGACTCCTTCTTGACTATCATCAGCATCTAAACCACGTGTGACTTTAGTAAAATCAAATGGTTCACCCATATAACGACGGTAAACATCAAGAATATCAAGACATGTTGATTCAAAATGTGTTGTTGCATCATATGAACTTGAAATGAAGAGCTAGAAAAATAAATAAAATCAATTAATATCGTAAAGAAAATAAATTTTTTTGTCTTACTCTGCTTTTTGTTCCATCTTCAATTGGTTCATATAAATCTTCAACACTAACAAATTTTTGATAGATAGGTTCAAGAAGTGCAAGACCAGGTCTGATTTCATTTTCTGGATTATTTGTTTCAACTGTTGTACTAACTAATGCAACATACCAATCTTTTGGTGTAACCATATTTGTTTGACCCATACAACAAACATAAATATCTAATTAAGAAAATATTTTTCCTTTATTTTCATACGAAAGAAAGAATAATAATCTTTACCATTATGACGTTGAACTTGTTTTTGTGGAATAATTATTTGAACTGAACCTGGCGGTGAGTTCGATCCAACATTAACAGGATGTCGTAAAAGACAAATAGCACGAATAACTTTACCAACTTTTTTAACTTTGTCTGAAGCATAAGATGGATCACATATAACAGCTTTACAACGAGCAGTTTGATCGCCTGATCGTACACCAACAACAACACCATTTTCATAAACAATTTCATCAACTGGTTTATCAAGCATATATGTTCCACCATAAATAGCACTTAATCTAAATATACAATGGATATTTATTTTTTCCGAAGAATTTTTATTCAAAAAAAGGCTCAAGGTACTTCAATGATTCATTTTACTATTATCTTTTCTAATCGGTAGATAAAGATATTTACTTATCATCAATCTAGAGTGTATTTTGTCATTTAAGATATCTTTTTAACATACCGTGCGAAACCTTGTGGTAATTCACCAAGGCCATAGAGTGGATAAAGATAAGGTGATTTACCATAACGTGCTAATGATTCACTGTAAAGTTTAATTCGTTTGATTGATTCCAGACAAGGTTTTGTTAAATAACTAAATGAAAAATTTTAATGATGAAATTTTTGTTTAAAATATTTATAACTTACTCATCGTCACTATGAAGTGCCAAAGCATGACCAGTAAAATCAATTGTTTCTTGATCAAGACCAAATTTTTTAAATGCATCAATCATACGTGTATTTGGTGGAACTTCCTTATATGTTTTAGGATCTTTTTCATCATATTCATTGACCCAAACAAGTAAATTACGAAAACGTCGTTTTTCAAAAAGACCCATTAATGCTAAAGAAAAATGAGATATTCTTAAACAATAAAATTATAATTTTTCGTTTTCTTACATGATGCAAGTGCTTCTCGTTCATCAGCTGGTACTTTATGAATTTTTTGACCTTTGTATACATAACTTCCTTCAATACATTTAAATTCAAGATATCGAGTTACACCCGTATGAATTAATAATTTAACAAGAAGACCTTTAAAATACGAAATATATTTATTTATGTTGTTCTTTTCAATTATATTTTATTTACCATTTGCCATAAGAAATTTTGGAATTAAATCAACATTCCAATCACGACCACGTCCTGTATCAGATGGTGGTGGTGGTAAATTAAATTTTGAATAAAGCTAAAAAATAAAATCTTATAGAAAAGCCAAAATCATAAGAATAATAAACTATTTACATCTTCTAATGGTGTCATGGAAGCCGATTCACCACCATAATATTTGTTTCGATCCATATGTAAAATCTTTTTTCCAGCTACACCAAGTAAACCAGCTAATACACATTCCTATATAATAAAAAATTTGAAAATTTCTTGGTTTAATGAGATTTTAATTCTTTAACTATACCTTTAAACCAGTACCTAACAAGATAACATCATACTCTTCATCCATGATTAAACGTCTTCTTTATGAAAATAAATATTAAATAGATTTATTGGTCTGAAAAAAAGAAGAAATACTGCGACTAAAGTGACACGCGTACAAAATATAAAGAAAATAATATGACGACGGCGATTCTTAGATGATTCAATAAGATGTTTGTTCTACATAACACAGATGTGGAAACAAGTGGCGACGGAGTGCATTATTTTAACACGTCGTATTTTTTAGTATTTCGATCATAATGGATGTTTACAGCTGAATTTTGATTGGTAGAATCTATTAAACTAAACGACATCTTTCAGTATCTATTTTAAAACATTATTTTGTATGAATTATACGAATCAAATTAATTATTTTCTAAAGATTTTGTTCTTCGGCAAAAATTTGTTTATTCATATTGTCGCTACTATCAATGATACGTAACAATAAGCTTTTCTTTGCGGTTTTGTCTTTTATTTTCAGATTTGAACTATTCAAATTAATATCATGAGCAAACGAAAGGTAAAAAGTTTTTGTTTATGTTTCGAAATACTTGTATCTTTCATATTTTTTTCTTTTAAAGAAAAACGATCCTACTCCAGATGAAGCAGAAGAAGAAGAAAATGACAATAATTTACGAGATAAACATCATAAACAAGCACCACCACAGGTTTACAATAGAAAAATTCGTATTTATTCATTTTCTAAATATTATCTTTTCTAGAAAGTTTATGATTTTCATAAAAAAACAATTGAAGTTTATCCTGAACGTTTACGTGAATTAAATCGACAATTTGTTGCATCAGTATCGTCACAAATATCCGATGAACCATATAGTGTTCTTGTTGGAAATTGTCTTGATTATGTTCGTCAATATTTTAATTATGAAGATGATTTATTACAATATTCACCATGGCTTGCAACTAGACTTAAACAATCTCGTTCAGGTTTATATTAAAATTAAATATTTATATTTAAAGTTCTGTTTAATTTTTACTAGATATAGTTAAATGTTTACAAGAAACAATTGATGTTTATGAAGCACTTGCACGTCATGATTTTGATCATTTAATTGACAAAAATACTTCTGATGTATCACCAGATGAACCAATAAGGAATAGAAATGATATTTCTGAACAATTAACAATACCTTCATATCAATTTCGTCCATCATCAACTACTTCGACTGCTTCAGTATCAAATTTTATGAAACCATTAACAACTACAGCTGCTAGTGATTCGATTGGTTTTAATTCAACAAAATCAACAACAACTACGGCTGCTAGCGATTCAACACCAACAACTGGTTTTAGTCTTGGAAAATCAACAGCAGCTAGTGATACAACACCATCAAGTAGTTTTAGTTTTGGAAAATCAACTGCAACTAATGATTCAACACCATCGACTGGTTTTAGTCTTGGAAAATCAACATCAAATAATGATTTAACACCATCAGCTGGTTTCAGTCTTGCAAAATCAACATCAAGTAATGATACAACACCAGTAACTGGCTTTAGTTTTGGAAAATCAGCATCAAATAATGATTCAACATCATCAACTGGTTTTAGCCTTGGAAAATCGTTAGCAAATAATGATTCAACACCATCGACTGGTTTCAATCTTGCAAAATCAACATCAAATAATGATTCAACACCAACGCCAAGTTTTAGTTTTGGAAAATCAACAGCAAATAATGATGCCACACCAACAAGTGGTTTTAGTTTTGGAAAATCAGCAGCAGCTAGTGATACAACACCATCAGCTAGTTTTAGTTTTGGAAAATCAGCAGCAGCTAATGATTCAACACCACTGACAGGTTTTAGTTTTGGAAAATCAACAACACCGAGCGATTCCACACCATCAGCTGGTTTTACTTTTAAAATGCCTACAACATCAGCATCACCAGATAAATCAGCAAATACATCACCATTCGCTTTTTCTATACCAAATACAGGCTTTGGAACAGTAAAATACATATTTTTCTTTTAGCATTATTTATTCGTAACATTATCTTTTCAGTCAACATTCAGTTCTCCTACTTCTATTAATCCAACAAATACGGATAAATCATCAACTGGTTTAGGATCATCAATAAGTTTTACTCCACCACCTAAATTTTCATTTACACCAACAGCATCAGCTACTACTGAACAACAAGGAACAACAGAAGATAATGAAGATGGTAAACGAGAAAATCAAACATATTAGATTAATATTAAAACTTGTTTTATTATAGAATCAGCTGAACCACCAGAACCAGAAAAAGTTGAACATGAAGCAGGCGCTAAATTAACATATAGGTAATTATTATCAGTAGAGGATACGAAAAAAACGAGTTAATTGAATATGAGAAAGTATTTATTAGAAATGTTTGATTTTTTTCAAAAAAATGAGTTTCACATTTAATTGATGTATCAAATAATCGAATCGTATTCATTTAATCTCTATGAGTAATTACAATAAAGGAAAAGTTTCATCACTTGAGAATATATAGCATTAAATAGGATTATCGATCATCTAGATAAACAATTCGAGTTTTTCAAAATTATACAAATTCATTGATTATTAGCTTTTTTACTGTAGAATAAATTCCTACGATTTATCTACGCAGAAAGAACAGAATATAACGACGAAAAAGAAACTGATGCAATAGAATGACTCATCAGTCGACAACGTTTCTTTCATCTTAAACAAACATTTTGTAGATTCATGAAAATAATTAGAATTAGTTCGATTTCTCAATTATGTTAAAGACTAATTTTTTCTTCAGATGTCGAATGGCAGTAACAGCAAAAGATGTTAAATTAATAAAACGTGGACCTGTGCAAGTTGTACTCAAAGAAAGTAATGATAAAAATCAATTAATTGTACGATCTGATGATTCTCTCGGTAAAAAAAAGATTCATAATTTTATAATATTATATATTGATAATTATAGGCCGATTATTTTTGAATATTATATGGTCGAAAATTATTGAAATTAAAAAAAATTCAACTAAAGATATTACATTTGGTTGCAAACTTAATCCGGGTATGCCCGAAATTAAAGAAGGAGATGTTGCTGTTATATTATTTCGATTTGATAATGAAACTGATCGTAATGATGCATATGAAAAACTCAATAAAGAACGAACATAATTTGTCTTTTTTTAATTATCAAAATTAATAAAACATTAATCTATTCAAAAAAGAATTGCGAAATTCTTTTCAAAATATATAATCTTTAGGTTCATCTCTTTTTGTTACCAACGTTCAGATCATTGTATCCTTTTCTCTTCATTTTTTTTTCTCTGTCCAATGATGTATAACATATTTCAAGAAAAAACAATATTCATAAATAATCATTGTTCTTTTCTTACTCTTTCCTTCTTTTTTTTTGTTAAAGATGTATGAAAGTAATGATTCATCGGATGATAATGATGAAAGTTTATCTAAACAAGTTTTACCGACAGCTGATGATGCTAACGGTCCAATTGATTTGAACAAAATGCCAACAACTGGAGAAGAATATTTAAGACAGGTTCGGTACGATGAGATTCGTTTTCTTTTTCTAATCAATTGTATGATAAATATTCTTAACATATTTATTAACAATAGAATAATAAAAAGTATAATGAAACAATTATGTAGAAAAGTTTATCTAGAAGAATAAAACGAATGGCAGTAGATTTTACATTACTATCCCATAATAATACTTAGTTTTATGAAACTCTCAGTAATCTTGATTCAGTTTTTGTACACATCAATTAGGGATGTGCAGTGTCAGGAAAAGTACTGAAAAACGGACACTGAATACATCTGTTTGGTGCTCACCGTGCCACCGAAAGATCGCTGTTAGTGTTTACGGAGCACTGAAGGTATCGGTGTCAGTGATCACTGTGCCACCGGACATTAGTGTCAGAGTCACTGCTAAAATATTTTTATGCTAAATCTTAGTATTTGTATCGATATCTTCAGTGTTCACCGAAAACTAACACGGTGATCACTGATACTGACACTTTCGGTACTCCGTGATCACTAACACTGATACTTTCAGTTCTCCATAAACACTAACAACGATCTTTCGGTGGCGCGGTGACCACTGATGCTTTCAGTGTCAGTGAACATCGTTGTCAGTGGAAGTTGGTACTCAGTAACCGGACAATGCACATCCCTACATATTAATGCATCAGATATATGATAAAAGCTACTAGAACAACATATAATGAATTTATGTTAAAACTTTATACGAATACATTTGCACCCTCACGATTATTTATTTAGTTTTCAGGCTTCTCAATTACCTGATTTTCAAACTGCTACGCAAAGAAAGAAGCGCAATACAACATCATCTAATTCTAAAAATCATGCTTGGCATAAACTATTTCCAGTATGATTTAATTTTAATAGAACAAAAATTTCATATTTAAATATTTAGTCGACGACTGCTAATACTACTACCTCAGATATACCAATAAAACATATTGTTTCAATTGACTGGCAAAATGAACAATCCAAATTATTTTCCAATGTTCGTAACGATTTTTTTCAAATGCGTGATCGATTACGCCTAACAAATAAAAAATATAAAAATGCTAAACTAAAAAGTGCTAATAATTATTGGAAATTTTGTTTTGGAGATGATATTCCTTTTCAATCGCCATTACCATCTTTAGAAATAGATGATCAACAACAAACACAAAATTCACTTCCAACAATGACAAAAATGATAACTTTAACTCAGGTTTAAACTTTTCAAAAAATTAATTTTCTCATTTTTTATCGTAAATCTTTTTAGCCTCAACTTCATGACTTATTACAACATGAAATTGATTGGTTAAAACAATGTGGATGTTCTATTCATCTAGTATAATATTATTTATTTGATTTTGAAATAATTAATATTATTATTCTATATTTAAGGCTTTGTATACATTTGCTACATTAGTAGCTATTGAAAAACCTATCAATGAAGATGTAATGTACACAATACGACAGACTTGTTTGGCATGGAAACAAACACGAATGAGATTAATAGTATGACAAAATATTTAACAATAATTCATTATTTTTATTTTGTTTTGTAGAATCTAAGTGGCAATGAACAACGTGGTGATGATTCACTGATAAAATCATGTGATGTATTTGTATGTATTATTGGTCGTTATTTTGGTCAATTTGATTTAGCTGATACAAGTGATTGAAATACACTTTAAAAAAAATGAAACTTTCTATTATTTAATATAATTCTTATTTTTGTCATTTTTTGTATAAAATTGTTTTTTGTTTATTCTAGATGAAATCGTTAAAATATTGTTTTCATCCATCGATAATATCTCGAATACCATCGTGTATTCTATCTGCTAATCGTCGATATTTAGCTACGGATCAAAATGCTAGCACAAAAACAGAAGCGAATAATACAACTGAAGCACAAGCTGAAATAGGTCCATCAGCACCTGAACTTCAAGTTAATAATCTCACTGGTGATTATCAACGTAAATACAGATTCGTTTGTGCTTTATTTAAATATAATTCTGTTTTTTTCTCAATAGATGTTTTTGAAATTGCTCTCAATCGAGCTGAAAGACGTAATGCACTTGGTAAACAATTACTCTCACAGGTAGGTCAACATAAAAGAAGAAGAATTTGCTAATTTTGTTTTTCATTTAGTTGGATGCTACATTAGATAGTATTAAAGATAATAATGCAATTCGATGTGTACTTTTTCGTAGTATGGTTCCAAATGTATTTTGTGCTGGTAAAACTTTTCCTTTTTCGTATTTCAAGAGAAAAATTAATAGAATTTGTTTTAAATTAGGTGCTGATTTGAAAGAACGTCTTACTATGCCGCAAGAAGAAGTAGGACCATTCGTATCGAAGATTAAAGAAATCTTTTCGAAAATTTTCGGTTTATCTGTACCAACAATTGTAGCACTTGATGGTAAGTAACAAATAACGAAGTTATCATTTTAACAGAAAATTTGTTTTGAGAAAAAGTTATAGTACGAACACTATTCGACTAATTTTAGTAACGAAATTATTGAGAAGAAAAGTTTCACTGAACATTTCTTGTCAACTAATGCCAAGAGAATCAGAAGTTATTCTTATTCTCTTCCACGCTATTTGTTAGATCGCAATCAGCTTAATTTCTTATAGAGTTATGACAGAAATACTTAAAAATGAGAGTTCATGGGAATACAGATAACCGTTATTCCAAATCTTACATATTTATCTGTGTTTTAAATAAGGTTTGGCACTTGGTGGTGGACTTGAATTAGCTTTGGCTTGTGATATTCGTATTGCGGGTAAGATTTACATTTTTTATCGATATTTAATCGATTTGAATTTTTTTTTATAGCTCATACAGCTAAACTTGGTCTAACAGAAACAAAACTTGGTATTATTCCTGGTGCAGGTGGTACACAACGTTTACCTCGATTAATTGGTGTAGCAAAAGCTAAAGAACTTATTTATACTGGTTAGATTCCCTAGATAAAAAATCTTTCATTCACAAAAAAAAAATTCATTATTTCTTCTAGGACGAATTTTGGATGGACAACAAGCCTATGAATTTCGTTTAGTTAATGAAGTTGTTAAACAAAATGCACAATCTGATGCAGCTTATCAACGTTCACTTGAAATCGCTCGAGAAATTGCTCAACAGGTTTCTATAAAATTATATACATAATTATGATATCCATAGTATTTTTCGTTTTATTAAAATAGGGACCATTAGCTGTACGAATGGCAAAACAAGCGATTAATAAAGGAAGTGAAGTTGATCTTCAAACAGGTCTTGATGTTGAAGAAGGTTGTTATGATACTGTATTAACATCAGAAGATCGTATTGAAGGTTTAAAAGCTTTTCAAGAAAAGCGAAAACCTATTTATAAAGGCGTTTAACTTGAATTATATTTTGAATTATTCTGTTTTGTATTTTTATTTTATTTTTTTGTTCATTAAACCCATATAGAGAAAAAATACAAAAAGGAAAAAAAAACATCATGTTTAAAATCTTTTATCATATGTATCTTAATTTATGTAGATATATATTATGGTGGGATATGATCCGGATAAAAAAAATTTAACAAGTAGTCAAATTTTAATTGCTAGTACAGGCTCGGGTTTTGTTGCACGTTTTCTTTTACAACCAATTGATGTGATTAAAATTCGTTTGCAAGTGAGATTGAAATTTTTTCTATAAGAAATCAATAATCTCTGTATGTATATATAGTTACAAATTGAACCAATACGCCGTCAGACAGGTTCAAAATATCATAGTCTATTGCAAAGTATTCGATTAATTCATCATGAAGAAGGTATACGAGCTTTTTGGAAAGGTCATGTTGCTGCACAATTTTTATCGATTTCATTTACTGCTGCTCAAGTAAGTTTAGAACATAAATGAAATTATTTGTATGAATTATCATAGATGTATTCATTTGAAAAAGTAACACAACAAATGGGAGAAATTTTTCCTAGCACAACAACATCGCCCACAGCTAAAGTAATAACACATTTTATAGCTGGATCAATTGCTGCATCTGTAGGTGTACTTAGCTGTCAACCAGCCGATGTTTTACGAACACGATTTGTTGGACAAGGTGAACCAAAGGTTTGTAAAATTTATAGACTATAATTCGTTCCCTTCCCATGAACATTTGTTTTGTATCTAGATTTATAAATCTTACATGCAAGCAATAAATCTTGTTTGGACCCACGAAGGTATTCGTGGATTTTATCGTGGATCAATTCCAGCGATTATTCTTTATGCACCTGTTTCTGCACTTACATTTGGATTTTATGAATTTTTTAATCGAACATGGGATCGTTTACCACTTGAACATTTTCGTAAATTTATTTTTATCATTTATATCTTATCTTCGTTTTTGAATATATACATAGATTCTGTAAAGCACGCATTTAATGGTGGTTTAGCCGGTTTATTAGCTAGACTAATTGTTTATCCATTTGATTTAACAAAAAAACGACTTGAAGTTGTCAACTTTGAAGAAGCTCGTTCGAAATTTGGACAAGTACTTTCGTTTTAAAATTAGACTTTATTTCCTAAATTATATTTTATTTTAGACACGAATCTATTCTGGTATGATGAATTGTTTTTCTGAAATATTTCGACATGAAGGTTTTACTGGTCTTTACAAAGGCATAGCACCAAGTATGATTAAAGCTTATATATCCACTGCTATTACTTTGAGTATTTACGACTCTCTATGCAATACTCTTCGAAAAACATCTTCTGATTAATTAATCTCATTTATTTTTTCACAAATTTTTTATAAAATATGTGTCATTGTTAAATAAAATAACAAATAAAAATATACATACATAAAATAACTTTTCTATTTAACCGTTTGAATAGTTAATCTAATCATTTTAATATTAAACATAAAAATGATTACTAAACTACCAAATCAGCTTATACACATAATCTGTCACTTCAATGCTAAAAGTTCGAAGTTGACATCTTAAAAAATTACGGTTGGCGAGTTGTAAAATATACTCAAAAGTATATGAAAACATATTTTGTGCCATCAATCAACGCTTCATATCGGCTGTGGGTGGGTATAGATTAGAAATGATTAGACCAAGTCACACCCACCCGCCCTAAAAAAGTTTGGAGAGTGTTTTCGACAGCACTAAAATATATTCTAATAAATTCATTACAAACTGCAGCATTAAATCTTCCATCAGAATGATTTTTTCGAGGAACATACTATGAAATATTAACAATATTGAATGCCTTCATTACAATATCTACTATGGATGTTGATAACATGGTTAATCAATGTGTTTATCAGTTGATTGATTGTGATATGATTCCTCGAATACTGAATACAATGATATCATTAACTCAGTCAATATCAGAAAAAAACATAAACACACTTTTTAATCAAATGAAAACTCATTTTACAAAATTCCAAACGTCAACAAAAAAATATATATATTAGCATATTATTTTACAAATGATAGGTTTTTTCTTATTATTAATTATTATAATATCATCATTTATTTTAGCAATTGTTGATTTTAAAAACAAAATTTTGCCAAAACCAAAACTAGCTTTCGATATTTACATCTTGATTTATATTCGTTTAGGCTTATTAATCATTCTTTGTATTCCTTTAAGTTTTATTGCAGTTCGATTATAATTAATTTTTATACAAAATACAAAAGTATTTCCATTAAATGAATAAAGATTTGATATCAAATATTGAAATAGTAAAGAAATGAATCTTATCCTGACTCATTTCTTTTCGCTTTTACAGTTAGAAAAAGTCATTGTTTCGAAATTTTGACAGTTATATACAATGTTGTTTATTACCTAATAAGAATGATTCACTGTCGTTCTTTCGTTTTATCGACGCTTGTATGTGAGTCAATATGGTGCGATAGTAATTTTTTATTTTCGGCGACTATACGTCTAGTAATGATACGAAAAGATATGCAGTCTGACAAACTTGCATAAACAATGGTGATACGATTTTCTAGAGATAGTTAATTTATGTAATTAACATCGCCAACCAGTTATGGCATCATTACTGTCGTACTATTAGAGAATGAATCTTGAGGGTGTGCGTATGGGTGGATGCCGCTTCCCAGGCAGACAACGGACAAAAAATACGGCGTTTCTGAGAGTAAAAATGTGTGCTTTTACACGACGAAAACAACTTTTTTTGAAAGCAAAATGATGGAGACATTCTTTATTATCAGTAACTCGATTTATTAAACAAAAAAACAATTTTTCTTCAGTCGTAAAAAGCGCACATTTTTACGCGTAGAAATGCCGTATTTTTCGTTCGTTGTCTGCCCGGGTTATTATTATTTACTCACATTCAAGCACACACCCCCAAGATTATAAATTTTATGGGAAAAAAACCAGGATTATATACAAATGGTAAAGAACGACGAAAACAAATGACGTTGATGAGTAAATAAAGATTGTAGCTTTTCTCTTCTGGTGTCGTGTTGCTTGAGGGTGTGAATGTGGGTGTGGTTGTGGGTGTGGATATGGGTGTGGATGTGGATGTGGGTGTCGATGTGGGTGTGGGTGATGATGGATCTGGGTGTGAGGTGGGTGATGCTTTGCTCTACCATCTACACCCACACTCATCCCCATACTCATACCCACACCCACCCTCAAGATGCGCGAGAATGAGGAGCAAGTAATGACGCATATACACCTTACTTTCTTTTTTGTTTCACGTAATAATCTTTATCATTATCGATATAAAAAAGCAAGTCTATAAAGTTGTTTTAACACTATCTTTTTTTCTATTTTTAGTACTAAAAAAAAGAGACGCCATTATTTTCGTCGTTATTTGCGTCGTTATTTACGTCGCTATTTGCGTCGTTATTTATACTTTTTCGTTTCCCCGTGACTTTCTTCCAACAAACAAATACTGGTTTTTTCCAAGCGTACTCTCTGATTTATATATAGAAACATGTAAAACAATATCGTACTCATAAAGCACTATTTACGTCGTTATATATATTTTTTTCTTTCCCCGTGACTTTCTTCCAATAAACAAATAATGGGTTTTTTCCCAGCATACTCTCTGATTTATATATATATAGAGGGGTAAAACGTTATCGTACTCATAACTCACTATTCAACAACGAATTATACTACAAGGTAAGATTGAAAAAATCTCTATCTGCTAGTTATATACCTTCCGTCTGAAAGAAAGAATAGATAAACATCATGTTTCCTAGATACATCTCTTTTTCATTCTCGTATTGTTGTTTATACTACATGATGGTAAAATATAGGTCTGTTTTACATAATATTACGGACAAAAATAAAGATCATAAACGACCGTATCTTATGAGTAGCTGCCGAATTCGAGTTATAATATAAATGCACAAATATACATATGTCCATAGTAATATTGATTTAGCAATAGATAGGAATAGATTTAGTATTAGGTAGGATGGTATAGACGGATTGTGTTAAGGATGAGTGTAGGTAAAACAGATAGGATATCTTTCATATTCATGTTAAAAGACAATAATATTATTTTATTTTAAAAACTCTTAATCATTTAGTCTCGCTAACAAAATGGTTTTAACAACTACAACAATCGAAGATATTCTGAATGAATCTGATGCTGGTGTTCATTCAGAATGTGGCAAATTAGATATTGTCCTTATGCATCGACCAGGTGGAGAACTTCTTCGATTAACAAACGATAATCTTCATGTTCTTCTTTTTGATGCTATTCCTGATATTAATCAAACACATCATTCTCATGATATTTATTCACAATATTTACGTGATCATGGAGTACACGTACTTTATTTAACAGATCTTCTTCGTGAAACACTTATTTCAAGTATTCAAGCACGTTCTCAAGTGATTGATGGTATTCTTACTCATTCTCATCTCAATCACAAAAATCAAGAACAATCTTTATTAGCACTTCAACAATGGTTACTTCATCGAACACCTGAACAATTAACTGAAGATATTTCTGTTGGTGTTGCTTATTCACGAGATGAATTAGGTACATCTGCTAATGCTCAAATTCTTCTTACAACAAATGATTTAATGAATGAATATCTCATTCCACCATTACCTAATCTTTTATTTACGCGTGATTCATTTTCAATTATTGATAATCATGTTTTTATTTGGCAAATGAATAAACCAGCAAGACAAAACGAGTCTCTTCTATTACAGGCTATTTTTCAATATCATCCACATTTATCAAATTGTGGATTAGAAATTATTGAATGGAGAGAACATATTGATGAAAATCATACCGAAATTCCAACAGTCGAAGGTGGTGATATTGCTTATCTTGGTGATGGTATCCTACTTATTGGTTGTGGTGAAAGAACAAATCGACTTGGCATTGAAGCACTTAGTCGAACAGGTATTTTTCATCAAATTATTGTTATTATGATACCTCCTCAACGATCTTACATGCATTTGGATACAGTTCTTAGTTCAGTTGGTAAAAATGCATTTACATTACATGGTCTATTAGCTGAAATTATGGAAGTATATACTATAGAAAATCAATATGATCATCAAAATACATATTTCGAACCAGAATGGATATCACATGGTTGTGATGTTCGTCAAGCACTTCGAAACATTCTCAATAATCCAAATTTAATATTTTATGATGCGAAAGATGAACAAACATCAATTGATGAACAAGCACATGACCGATTTAATGTTCTTGCTATTGATGATAATCATGTTGCTACTTATGCTGGTGGTGATGCTAAAAATGGTCTTGTCACTTGTATGACTCAAAATAATATGTGTCGAGTAGGTCTCATACCTGTTGAAGGTTTATTAGAAGGTGGTGGTGGTGCTCATTGTATGACAAATGCTATTCGGCGAAGAACAATATAAAGTTCAACTTATTTTATATTACTTACAACTTAACAGTTTTTTTTCTATTTAGTGTACGTATTTCTAATATTATATTCTATCTGGTGTACGTATTTCTATTATTACATTCTATTTTATGTACATACTTCTATTATTATATTCTATTTTATGTACATATTTTTATTATTATATTGTAGTGATCTGTAGAACAATCTCGAATGCCATCTTCTCACTACATAGTAGTATTAGGTGGCATTTTTATATTGTTATGGCTTTTTTGTTATAATATTCTGGCATTTTTTTGTATTATGCTACTGAATGTTTCGAGTGCTATATCAGGCACGACGAACATTCAGTGAAGGGAGGCGGTTTCTTTTAAAGAATAAAATTGTATATACATATTAAATCTTACACAGCTCTACTCTGGGTCTTAAATCGTCACAGTGTAGGTATGAGTGGGGCTTGATCTAATAAATCCTAAATAGCTCTCAAGTAAACTATATATTTGTCTGACTGATGGTTGCGAGTATGATACAGATTTGATACTCACATTCTTAATTCACTTATTTATTTACAAAACATTTTCAAAGTTATAATTTGATAGACTAACTCAAACTATCCTCAGTGGATTGTTGTTGAGAAGAAATACTTACGTATAAACCCTTATCCAGTTTAGAAGATCCCTGGTCTTATAAACTATTATTTATTTGTGACAAAAAATAGACAAAAAGAATTCCTATACTCACTATTTTGTTACTTTAGTTTTATAAAATAATAACAAAATAAATAAATATTTTTCCACGTGTGCTCTAAAAAAAAGGACTATTGTTTATCTTTTCTTTGTTCTACTATAAACCAGGCCACGTGCTTCTTTTTATTTTTTTTTATTATGTGCTATACAAATATTTGACTGAAATACGATGCAAAAAGAATTAGTCATAGAAAATTGAATTTAATACAAAGAGAGCGAAAGAAATGAAATTTTTACTAAAATAGAAAATCTAAATGTTTTAGCACATTTTTTTAATATTTCTGTAAGAGAAGTCTTCTATTCCGGATGAATCTTGTATTATATCTTTCAAATCATTTGTCCATAGGGGTCTTTTATTATGAGGAGGAGTTTAGTTTGTTATTTAAATGTACTGTCTGAGATCCTCCTACGTAACTTGATGTGTTGCGATTCTAGACTATGAGAATGTGGGTTGTCGATGTGAGTTAAAAACAAAGATCTCCACACTCACCACACACACTCAAGATGGTTGCATGAGTTCAGTAAAAACAAATCTTATACTAAATAACCAGTTTAGAATAATGTGAAATTTTCAACAACAAAAAATATCCTTTATCAACAGAAAAACTAATCTTACTTCCTTTTTTTTTGCAAAGTTAGTTTTGAATAAAATATTGACAGATATGAGTTATTATTTTCTATTAATTTATGAACTCTTATGAATAAAATATAGAATTAAATTATACAAAAGAACATTTATTATGATTATTTATAAAAGTAAAAAAGAAGAAGTTAGATAATGACATCGAATGCTGCATAAAATACATTGAAAAAAATTAAAAATTAATAGAATATTTATTTTTACAAATATGTTGTATTTAACACAATTCAATTTTTTTTTGGATAACTTTACCAGATGTTCATTTTTATGAACCCTTCACTTCTAGAAAAAAAATACATTTAATGACGTTTTCATAATCATCTATTGATTTTTGGGTGTGGGTTTGTGTGTAGGTGGTAGAATAAAGCATCACGCACACGCACACCCTAGCCACACCCACACCCACACCCTCAAGATATCTGCTTTCTATTAATTAGGATTCAATGATAATCGAGGTAATAAATTTATTATTATATTAATCAGAATCAAGAGAGGAAATTGATTGATGTTTATGAATATTAAACATTCTGTGGTAAAAAATTTTCTGCAATCATACATCGAACACTTCCACCACCACATTGTTCAATAGTTGATATATCAAAATAAACTAGTTTAGTATTAGTTTCTTCAATTATATTTCGTTGTTGATTAGTTAAAGAATTATAAGCTGTTTTAGACATAACTAATAAATATTCTCCTTGTTTATTTCGTATTTCAAGCATATTACCAGCAAATTGATTCATTTGTTCATATGTAATATCAATAATTTTTCGTTTACCATTTTCTTCAAGTGATTTTACAACATTATCTCGTTGTTCTTTATCATGTATTGATTCTAAACATATAATTACTACGTATGTACCAATTGCCATAATAACATTTGTATGATAAATTGCTTTTCCATTCTTATCAACACTATCAAATACAATAGCTGGTTTTTCATAATTCATTAATTTAATAAAATTTTCAATAACTATTTCATTTGTACGTGGTGATCGTATAGCATAAACAATTTTATTTGCACGATCAAGTACTAATGAACCAGTACCTTCAAGATATTGATTTCGTTGTTCATATACACTTAAATCAATAATAGCTGTTGTTTGATATGTATGAGATAATTTTTCAATAAGATCTATTCGACGTTCAAGACGACGATTTTTTGCAAGCATTGGATAGAGAATAATCGTTCCATCAGGATGTGTTGAAAACCAATTATTTGGAAAAATAGCGTCCGGCTTGACTGGTGATAGTGTATCATTAAATACATCAACATGAATACCATGTGAACGAAGTTGTTCAACCATAAGATCAAATTCTAATAATGCCTTTTGTTGAATTTGATTTTCTAACGATAAATCAGCATATTGTTCATTTTGAAATGAATTCGATACAGCTGTTTCTGTATTGAAACAAAAGCAAGCTGGTCGAATCATAATAATTCGACTTGTTGATTGATATAAAACCATCGCTAAATAAAGAAAAAAAATATTATCTTATTCTATATATAAATATGAGTGTAATATTTTGGCTTCTTTTGCATCTGTTAGGAATATGAGTGAATTGCGCTCTCGTTGTACGATTGGGCGGAAAATATCGAAAAAAATAAAAGTGACCTTCAAGAATATTTGAATTGTGCATAAATCAAGAATTTTTCCAACTGTCAGCTTCTCCATTTCAGAAAAAATGGTTTCTTTTATTAAAAACGCATGTTTTTCAAGATTTCTTAACATAATAAAAAAATAATATTTTTATTCACTTTTAAAGTATTTTACTTTATTTTATTTTTTCAGAATATTTTGAAAGTGGAATAGTATAGAACGTACGATAAAAAGGGTAATATGTTTACCATACAATATAATAATACGATCGTAAACGCTTCGTATACGATCTTTATTTTCGTCCGTAATATTATGTAAAACAAACCTATGTTTTACCATCAAGTAGTACAGACAACAATGCGAGAATGAAAAAGAGATGTATCTAGGAAACATGATGTTTATCTATTCTTTCTTTCAGAAGGAAAGTATATAACAACAGATAGAGATTTTTCAATCTTACTTTGTAATAGAATTCGTTGTTGAATAGTGAGTTATGGGTACGATAGCGTTTTATTCGTTTCTATATATAAATCAGAGAGTACTCTTGGAAAAAAACCCAGTATTTGTGTATTGGAAGGAAGGAACGACGAGACGAAAAAATATAAATAACGACGCAAATAACGACGAAAATAATGGCGTCTCTTTTTTTAGTACTAAAAATAGAAAAAAAGATAGTGTTAAAACAAATTTATAAAGTTGCTTTTTTATATCGATAATGATAAAGATTACTACATGAATCAAAAAAGGAAGTAAGGTGTATAATGCGTCACTACTCATTTTTCATTCTCACACTCACATTTTTTTAAAGTATGAGTGCTATGTTTATAGAGTGACTAATTTTACTCGCATTTTCACTGCAAAATCACTTCAATCAGAATGAACCTTTAAAATATATTTATTCAAATGGAAAGCTACATTTTTTTGAAGGTGTGAGTGTAGATGTATCATCTCTTAAAGCGCAACCACATTCATCTTTATTCACCCACATCGATGATACAGTAACCATAAATTGTTCCATTTATTTTTTTCTACCCTTTTATTATCTTTGATTTCTCTTATCTTAAGTTAAAATGTTTGATACGTAAGCTTTTCGTTATTATTCATTTGAAAGAAACGTTTTTCATATCGCAACACGTACCAGAAGAGAAAAGTTACAATTTTTATCTACTTATAAACGTCATTTTTTTTCTTCGTTCTTTGCCATTTGTATATGATCCAGCTTCTTTTCTCATAAAATTTGTAATCTTGATGGTGTGGGCATGAGTATGGGTAAATAGTAACAAGCGGCATCCACTCACACTCATTCTCTATTTAGATGCTGATATCTGAGAATCTGAATAATAATTATTATCAATCAGTTCTTTATAATGCATAATACTATAGTTTCGAATATTGTTGAAAAATAAGGTTCAACTGCTTATAGTATCAGATATAATTATGTTTCATTAGATTTATTAGTTTGGGAATAAGAAAAAAAATTTTTTGGTTTTATGATGTCTTTATAGATAAAAAGGTGAAAACTATGCATCAACATCATTAATGATGTATGCGATTGTGATAGTTATTTAACATAATGGATGTACTCTACAGAAATATGATTTTAGATTTTGTTTCTATAAAACGAGTACTTGACATAATACTTTCTTCTAATATTATCTCATATGTCAATACAGGAAAGATATTTGATGACGTTCACTTTCATGGTTGAAGGAGAGTTCTCGTTTTATTTTTTGTTACATTATCTACAAGAGAATTTTGTCAAATTGTTTCATTTTTCTCAGTTCGATCTTATAAACTACCATTGCAGATTTATGAACAAATATTTAGCCAAAAATATTCATATCTTATAGAGATCTCTGTTCTAAAACAGGAAATATTTTTAAATAACCTAACATCTTGTTTAAAACAGGTTCGTTTGAGTATGAATCTAGGAAAGTTTATGAATTGAATCGGAACAATTAAGATCTGATTTCTATTTTTAAGGATAAGTAATCGATAGATGACTAAAACTAAAAAGCAGCGAATTTAATTTTAGTCATTTTTCTGCTTTTATTATATAAATATATTTAAAAATGGTATTAAATCTCAATATGATATCGTGCAAACTAAAAAATATACTGCTAATAGAAGCTGACTACAACAGTTCGTTATTACTCTGAGGTTGAATTGACTTTATGCACGCTCAAATGTAGAATAACAAATTCTAGATTTTCGCTAAACAGCACTTCCACTATTGACGAAACTTCGGTCACTCTATAAAAGTAGCGTACAATGATCTTTCATTTGAAATTCAACAGTCGAATCTCTTTAAATTCAATTAGAACTCTACCAAAAACTTAATAATATCCTGTATAGTTCTATCAGAACTTGTGCGAATCTATGAAAAATATTTGACATAAATAAATCCTAGATAGATTTTATTAAAAGACTTTCATCGAATTCTGCCAGTTGTTTAAATCTTCAAATCGATTTAAATCAGTGGATTTAAACAAGTAAAATATTAAGTAAGTTAATTTATAGATTTGAAAACTCAGAATACAATAATTATTCTCTTTAAAAAATTGACTGATATGTCTGTTTTTGTTTTTGAACAAGATTGTGAATATTTTTTATATTAGCAACAAAACTAATGGAAAAACAATTAACATTGGCAACGACTTCATCTACAAATAAACATTATTTATTTTATATGTAAGCACCAAAGCCTGTTTTTTCATAGTTAAATAATTGAATAGTAACCATGCATTTACATCAGAATATTTAAAAAACACGGTCATCACTTCAACGGGTCAAAAAACATCCACTTTCTGAACTAGAAATAGAAAAGAATATTTTATCAAATAAAATTATTTAAGAGAGTACACCTTTTTACAACACTCTTTAATAGTTTTTTCTAACAAAAAAAAACAGAAAAAGTAATAACAATATCAATAATAAAGTGTTTCTTTGGTTACATGATGACGTATGTAGATCATTTCCTATGTGTTTTCTTATGTTTCTGCTACTTTAAGCAATTGCATTCAATATAAATAATAAAGCAATTTTATCATTTACTTTCATCTAAGACAAAAAAAAAGAAAGGAAGACACAAACACTCATAATCATGTTGTGCTCATGTCATATTTTCTTATTATTAATTGTTATTGGTTTTACGTCAGGAGCAGCAAATAATTCTTATCAAAATTGTCTACAAATAGCTGCTCGATTTGCAACAACTGTACCAAATGGACCAGTACTTGATATTAGAGCTACACAAGGTTTCAATGTTTCATGTCCACAATTATCAAATGTTTCATGTCCTGGTTCTATGATTAACGGAATTTGCGTATTTCAACAAAAACTTTGTGTAACATGTATTAATGGATCAACAGTACGCATACGAGTTCAATCAAATGGTTTACCAAGAAGATGTATGTTGGTACCTCTTACTGCACAAATTGCTGAAATTAATGTGGATTTCGAAGTTAATTTCAATCCTGATGTTAGCGTTAATTCACCCAATCAATCACCAACAAATACTGCAGCAGTTAGTACACTATTATGCAATATAACAAATCAAGCATCTGTACCAGCTACATCTGCATTTACTATGGGTCAATACAGTATGCCACAGAATGCATTGGCTGGTATAGCTGTCGATGGTGTAGAGATTCTTAATGCCAATAGTATGAATGCAGTTGATCCATTCTATCCAACAGGTGGTTATTCCGCAGAAGGAGCTGATCAATGTATTTCTCATCCTGCTGGTAGTGGTGAATTTCATTATCATATTGCTAGTGGATGTATGGTTAATCCACCTGCAGGTAATCTTACTGGATGTTCACCAGAAATTGGATGTTTAAATAATGTAGCAAATTATTCATTGAAAACATTTTCATCATATAAAACTTTAACAGTTATTGGTATTGCAAAAGATGGTCACGTTATTTATGGTCCATATGATTCATCAGGTCAGCAAGTTACATCAGGTTTTGATGTTTGTAATGGTATGTTCTATGATTCGATTGGTAATTATGCTTATTTTGCTACAACAACATATCCTTATATTACTGGTTGTTTTGGACCTGGTAATTATCCAAATGCTAAACCTAATTGTACAGCTAATCCAGTTCAAAGTTATACAAAATCATCTTATGCAGCGTTAATGACAACATCAACGGGTACAACTAGTCCAATTCAAAGTTATACAAACTCATCTTATGTAGCCTCAATGACAACATCAACGACTACAACTAGTCCAGCTCAAAGTTATACAAATTCAACTTATGCACCCTCGATAAC